TCTCGTTCTTTCACCAAATCTTTGTCCATTCATGCTGATGATAAGGCAGGTATGAATCATTCATCTAGCCAAGCAATATCCACACACATTGATGATATTGTTAAAAACATACCTCGCTCTTCTGTTCAATCACCATTGATCCAGGCTGAGGATGAAGGTATACCTCATTATTTCACCAAACCACCATTGACACAAGTTAATGATAGTGTTGAAGATGGATTTCATTATTTTACCCAACCACTATTGGCAAAGGTTGATGATGATGTTGAAGGTGAATTTGATTCTTTCACCCGACCATCATTAATGCAGGTTGATGAAGATATTGAAAACTTATTTCATTCCTTCACTCAACCACCACTGACACAGGTTGATGATAGTTTTGAAGATGCATTTAATTCTTTCACCCAACCGCCATTAACAAACTTTGACATTAAGGCTAAAAATGAATTTGATTCTTTCACCCATCCACCACTGGCACAGGTTGATGATGATGTTGAAGATGGATTTCATTCTTTCACCCAACCACCATTAACACAGTTTGATAATCAAGCTGAAGAAGAATTTAATAATTTCATCCAATCATCGATGGCACAGGTAAATGATAATGCTAAAGATGGATATCAATCTTTCATTCAATCACCTTTGACACAAGCTAACAAAAATACTAGAAGTATACCTCATTGTTCCACCAAATCATCATCAACTCAGACTAATGATAATGTTAAATATTTATCTATTTCTTCCATCCAACCACGATTGACCCAGGTTGGTGGAAATATTAGTGGCATACCTCGGTATTCCACCAAATCATCATCAACACAGACTGATGAATCTCAGTGTTCCATCCAACCATCATTGACACAAGCCATACCTCAAGATTCAATCAAATCATCATCAACCCAGACTGATAATTGTAAAGATTCTTCCATCCAAGCACCATTAATGCAGGTTGATGACTGTGTTGCTGTCCCTTGTCCTTCTGCTAAATCACTGTGTGATCATGCTAATCATGAATTTCAAAGTGTCTTTCACTGTCCTGCTGAGACTTGGCTTACCGAAATTGATGATAGTGCACAAGGTTTACCTCATTCCATCTGCCAAGCTAAATTCCCAAACATTAATGAAAATGTTCAAGGTATTTCGTGCCCTTTGAGCCATGAACTGTGCGAACATTTGGATGACACTGATATTGGGCGCAATGAAATATCTTGTAGTCATACCCTCTCACCGTGCACTGATAGTGATTATATCCAAGGCATATCCAGCGATTCCACTCACATTGCTCATAATGCACAATGTGCATCGCAATCACTCATCACATCATGTCCCACGAAAGCTGATGATAATGCTCGAAAACTATCTCATTCTACCAAACTACCGTTCACCCAAGCTGATGATAATGTTCAATGTGTATCTCATTCTAGTCAGTCACCTTCTATTCATGATGATACATCCAGTCCTCACACCCAATCACTACCACCTCAGAATGACAATGTACAACCCACTCGTAGTGTTTCTACGCAATGTTTACCAACCGTTACTGATAACGTACAATGTGTATCCGATACATTCACCCCAGCGTCTCCCACTCATGTTAACATCCAACGTGTACCTAAGCCTGCTATTAAAAAAAAGTCATGTTATGCTGATGATAATGTACCAAATACATCTAAGTCACCTGTTCAATCACCATGCACTCATGCCGTTAACATACCAGGCATATCCTATTCATCCGTTCCATCGTATGGGTATGGTTATTCTATGAAGATCTCATCAAATAGTGTTGGTGATTATTTAAGAATTGAATCGACTTCTCCATGTCATTCTTTCACCAGTAGTGATAACTATCTGTCATGTTTAGAATCATTGGGTACGAGTTATGATAACACAAGTGGTACATCAACCTCTTGCAATCTTTCATTGATTACTACTAGTGACGATGATCAAACAGGAATATCTAGTTCTTCCCTCAATATGAGTGATGATAGTATTTCACTTTCCTCTAGTTACTCCTCTGAATCATCGTGTGAGACCATTGATAATGGTTTAAATGCCTCCTAGCTTAACTCGGAATGCTAAGGGGAAACGTTATTCATAGACTTCTGTTACAGAATATAATGAAAGTAAAATTATTGTTAATAATTGCAAGAATGGCAACCAAGCAACTGGTCCAGTTCACCACTAAATAATACAGCAAATGTTAGCCGTTTGCAGAAATAAATAAAAGTATATTGCTAGTGGCTTTATTGTTATCCTTGCTTTAAAATGTTAAGTCTAGTAAAATATCAGAAAGTGTTCAGTGTAGGAGAATTTTTCAGAAATAAAATATTACTGTATAAATTTAATGTCTTTTTTTGTGAACCACTAGTTAAAGGATAAAACCTGTCTTTCAGTGGTTCAGAATAAATCTATGACTTTATTTTATATGAAAGGTGTGATTAAACTATCAGTTTATACATTATTTGTCCAAATCACAAGATCAGTTTGAATGAAAAAAGCCCTTTGGCCCATTTGATCTTATTCTTTGGGAAAACCCACCCAACTACCTTCCCATCACATCAGGCTATTTTTAAATGAGTCCAGAATACTGATCTCAACCAACCTATTCCAGTCATTAATTAGCATCTAGGTAAAGATATACTTCCTGGTGTCTGTCCTGAAATTGCCTTTTGTAAGTCTAACTTTAGTAACTCTAAAACCTGGGTAACTCTGGGTGATCCAAAATTACTGTTTTGAGAGCCCGGACTTATGTTTAAAGGGTAGTTGAGGTCAAACAAGACACTGAGGATCTGCACCAGCTCCATGAGGTGGAGTGAGCACCAGAGCAGATCAATGTTATCAGAGCCTTATGAGAAGGTGCTGGCAGGTGCCAAGCAGGAGAGCCTGAGTCTTGTCAACATTGAGCTGTAGAAAGTTAGAACTCATGTGGGACTGGCTTAAATCAAACTTAGCAGTCTTTCGGCAGATCTGGCTGGACCTTATCAAATCTTACTGCTCCACCCTTGCCTCCATTAAATCGTCGTTCTACTCGAAGACAATATTGGAGGCCAAGGACAACCTCAGTCTCCTCTTCTCCATCTCCAACTGGCTCCTCCTTCCACCCTCTTATGCCTCACCCATCCTCACCTCCAATGCCAACTGTGAGGCGATGCTGGACTTCCTTGAATCCAAAGTCAAGGGGATCCGCTCAGTTCCTATGCCCTCCCATCTGCTACACTCTCTCAATCTTACCATCCTACCCCATCCCACCCCGGCCCCTACTCATCCCTCCCTCCACACCTTCGAACCTGTCTCCCACTCTTCTCACCACCACTATAACCTGCATGAAACCAACCACCTGCTCCCTTGACCAGATCCCTACCCCTCTCCTTACCTCCCAGATCCACCTCCTTGCCCCTCTACTCACAGACATCATCAACCTCTCTCTGTCCACTGGTACTGTTCCCACCCCATTAAAAACGGCCATCATCACTCCTATTCTTTAAGAAACTCACCTTGGACGCATCTCTACTCTCAAACTACCACCTCATCTCCAACCTCCCTTTCCTCTCCAAGGTCCTGGAACGAGTTGCTGCTTCCGAGCTTTGCTCCTTCCTCTCCCGCCACTCCCTTAACAAAGCCCTTCAATCGGGTTTCTGTGATGGCCACAGCATAGAAACAGCCCAGGTCAAAGTGACAAATGACCATTTGCAAACCAAGGCTCCCTCTGCCTCCTCGTCCTCCTTGACCTCTCTGCTGCCTTCGACACTGTCAACCACTCTATCCTCATCCACCGCCTCTCCTCAACCTTCACGAGTCTGTCCTTGACTGGTTCAGATGATACCTCACACAGCCTCCACTTCATTCCCACAAACGGCTTCTCCTCTAGCCCCCACACTATCTCATGCGGCGTTCCTCAGGGCTCTGTCCTTAGTCCCCTCCTCTTCAATATCTATATGCACCCTCTTGATGACATCATCCGCCCCTGTATGCGGATAACACCCATCTGTACATCTCTGCCTCCACCCTTGACTCCAGGACCACTGTTGTCCTGAGAGAATGTCTGTCAGACATCAAGTCCTGGATGAGAGCTAATTTTGTTCAGCTGAACGTCAACAAGACTGAGGCTCTGCTGATTGGCTCCCGTCAGCGACTCCACACTTCAGGCGCTGACAGCATCACCATCCACAGTTGCATAGTCCACCTTATTAAGCCAGTCCGGAATCTTGGTGTCTTGTTTAACCCTCAACTGTCCTTTCTACCCCAAATCTCTGCCATGACCCGCTCTACCTTCCCCCACCTCCACAACATCGCCCGGTTCTGCCACTGTCTCACACCACAGGCTGCTGAAACCCACATACATGCTTTCATTACATGAAGGCTTGACTATGCAAACTCCTTGCTTGTCAGCCTCCCCATCTCCTCCCTCCATAGGCTGCAGATCATCCAGAACTCCGCAGCCCGCGTCCTCTCCCCCTCACCTTCAAAGCCTTCCATGGTCTAGCTCCCACCACTTCTGCGACCTCCTGACCCCCTACCATCCTGCCCACTCCCTCAGCGGGCTCCGGTCTGCTTCACGTCCTTCGCCTTGCTCGCCCCACCATTGGCGAGTAGGCCTTCTGCAACTCTGTCCCCACCCCCTGGAACTCCATTCAGCAGTCCCTCTGCCTCGCCCCCTCCCTTGCCCCCCACCCCTCAAGACCCATCTGAAGACCTTCCTCTTCAACTGTGTTTTCGATCACCCTGCTTCCCCCCCCACCCTCCACCCTCCCCAATCCCGACCCCCAGCTCGAGTCCAAAATTCTGACTGTCCAGCGCCTTGGATGTCCTCCCGATGTGAAAGGCACTATACAAATGTAATTTTGTTGTTGTTGATTTGTGAGCGGATTCTCCTTGAAGCTGAGCTAACTCCAAGTTGATGTGCTTGGAAGAAAAATATCAGAGGCAAGAATGTTCTTAGGCTCAGTTCTCTGGAATCTGGTACATGTTAAATAAGGTTATTATAGATGATAGCCAAAAAATTGCCAATCGAAACAAGATTCAGTTTAATACAGAAAGAAAATATTAAGAGTATAAATAACTTACAAAGGCAGACCCATTATCTGTCTGTGCTCTGGAATACAATGCTTATTCAAGGGAGTGTTAACTTTCATCGTTAAGATAATTACTAATGTTTGTGCTCCCCCCCCACCCACCCCCCATGGTGCACTTTCTGAGACCAATACATTACTGGCAACCAATACAACTATAGTTTTAAACAGGATTACAGGAAGAGGAGAACAAAAAATGAGAAGTAGCCCTATTTATAAAGAGTGTAAATGCCACTGCACGGTTATATTGCTGAACTGTATTTCCCCCTAGTGGTGCCCAGTGAAACACGCAGCCGAGGATCTCTGGCTTTGTAATGTTCATTGAAGTCAAGTCTGAAGTTAAGGAATCGAAGGCTTTCGTCTGAACTTTTTGTCAATAATACCAGGAACTGCTGAACAATATCCTGAAAAATATGTGTTAAAAGTTGAAATGGTTTAAGAAATACGCAAATAAATCCGTGAAAAAGTTACTAACTTTAAATGATTAATACATCTGAAAATATTTTAAATTCTAATTCTTCATTGCTTTGATGCATTTTCTTTCCAATCGATATTTATTTAAACTCCTACCTGATAGAAGTGGGAACACACACGTATCTGGGAACACATTTTTGGTATTAACTGCTGGAATTCGTGAATTCTTTTGCTTTCTGCCTTTTGTTCCGTTTCTCCCCACTCGCCCTAAAATGGCAGAACGGAAGTTATAATTAAATACGTTTCTGAGCAACAACAACAATTTGGCTTACAGCTACGATGTGATAGAATATCCATGTTGAAGAACTGTCGAATGGCTAATAACCACAAACATGAAGTGCAACTTTAGAAATCTTCTTATTCATTGAGTATAAAGACCAAGAAGTGGTAGGAGTTCCTTGTGGAAGCCCATGTTTCTTGGAAGTGAAACTCTTTCACATCACCGATACCATTTTCCTCTTCCAAAGTGAGGGAAAAGTTTGTGAGGTCTTCCCTGGGAAGCAATATGGTCTTCACCTTTGTCCAATGCATTCGCCCACAGTGCCCGAAATAAAGATCTTAACATTCTGGTTACCACATGGCAACAAGCCTCAGAAGAGGTGATCTTATGACTGATGTTGAGGGAAATCATGAGAAGCCCGATGCATTCATTCTGCTCACTTCAAACTAACACAGTGCACCCAGTCCACTATTTTTTTCTTAAATCTCTCCTCATCTTCAGCCGGGGGACTCCAGGATGGAGCTCTATAGGGAGGGGCAAAAAGGCTGAAAGCTTCACTGCCGATGTTTGGGAGTGGTCAGGGGGAGGGACATGGAGCAGGTCGAGGGAAGAGATACAGTCAGAGGTTGGTTGGTAATGTTTTAGTAGGTCGCAGAGGTAGTAGGGAGGAGCAAGACCATAGGGGGCTTTAAAATGAGGAAGAGGATCATGAACTTGATCCTCTGGGGAATGGGGAGCCACTAAAGCCTGGCAAGGATGAGGATAATCCAAGCACAAAGCTTAATGCAGGAGAGGACACGAGCTGCAGAGTTCTGAATAATTTGCAGCTTATGGAGGGAAGAATTGAGAAGTCTTTGGACCTTCAGTCTCTCTGCCCTTAACCTTTGGAACTCCATCCTCCAGTACCTTTGCCTCACTCCCTCTCTTGCCTCCTTCAAGACCCTCCTCTTCATCCGTGCTTTCAGTCACTCTACTACCACTACCCTCCCTTCGCTCCACCGCTCTTGATCCCAACCCCCAGCTCAGGTCCAAATCCCTGACTCTCCAGCACCTTGGGACATCTTCCCGACATGAAAGGTGCTTTACAAATGTAATTTGTTTTTGTTGTCTAGAGAGCAGGGAGTTAACATAGTCAAGCCTGGATGTTATGAAAGCATGGATGAGGGTCTCAGCAGCCTGAGGGGAGAGGTAGTGGCGGAGGCAGACAATGTTGGGGAAGGCAGAACGGGTTATGGAATGGATGTGGGGGTTTAAAAGGCAGTTGACAATCGAACAAGACACCAAGATTCCATAGTGGCTCAGTGAGGTGAAGAGTGCATCCATGAATACTGATTCTGTCAGCGCCTGAGGTAAGAAGGTGTTGAAAGGAGCCAAGCAGGTGGGCTGCCATCTTGTCGACATTCAACTTGAGAAAATTGGCTCTCGTGCAGGACTTGATGTCCGACAAACAATCCATCAGGACATCAGTGGTCCTGGAGTCAAGCATTGAGTGAAACCAAGTAGATGACATCTTCTTAATAGAAATGAACAAAATGCATCATACCTCCATTTCAAGTTGTTTCTTCTTTTCTTCATAAGCAAGCCTGAGCTGCAATTCCTCCAGTGCAGATCTATACATGGAATCCTGGGCATTCTGAAACTCCAGGATTTGATCAAAGAGAGCTCGAAGCTGAGTTAAAAGTGCCTTTAATAGAGACATAAGAGCAATTTTACAAATTTGTAAATAATCATAAATCATAATCATAAATTTAACAGGAAATTGCACATTTTTCCTGAATTTTAAAATGCACCATGAACATAGAAAGATTTAATTTGTCTCTATTAGGAGCTGCTGAGGATAACCACAAAAATCTTCGTAGAGGCTGCAGTTAACTTTGTCCAGATCTAATTTTCTGACAAATTAGACGAAAAGAGAACTTTGACTTCTCTGTTAAATAAGATTAAATGCTTTTAAAAATATAGAATGTTGCATAATGAGCAGTCGAATAGTACATGCACCAGTTCAAAGATAGACAGAACGTGAAACATTACTAATGAGCAGGGCTAACAGAAAATTGCACAAATATTTACCAAAAATTACAGGGACATTTTTTGTCAAATTTTACGGAAAATTGTGGGGGAAATTTGACAAATTTTGCAAACAATTGTGGAAAGTTGATTGGTGTTATCACATATTAGGGGTCTACCTCACTTGCTGTGCTGTCAGATGGCCATAACAGTTGGTTTATAATAAGACAAAACCATTACATGTGGGGAAACATGATTTGGGATCAATGCTTGCTCATTCATAAAAAACTCAGCCTGGATCATTTGGTAGCACGCTTGCCTCTAAGTAAGAAGGTTGAAGAATATAAGCACCACATTAGGACTTGGAACTCATATAGTGTAGGCTGACACTCCAATACCATCATGGTGCTGCATTGTTGGGGCTCTCTTCCTTTGGATGATACATTGCACAAAATACAACACAAAATTACATTTGTATAACGCCTTTCACATCGGGAGGACGTTCCAAGACATTAAACCAAGGTCACAGCTGCCTGCTCAGATGAACACTGAAGATCCCATGGCACTATTTGAAAAGAGAAAGGAGTTTCTCCCGCGGTCCTGGCCAACAATCCCCAATATAGACTTGGTAAACTCACTTCGTAGCTGTTGTGGAACATTGCTCGATGCAAATTAGTTGCCAAGTTTACTACAAATACACAGCATCAATATCAACACTATACAAGTGAAGCATTTGAGACTTCCTCCTGAAATGAAAGGTGCCATCTCAAATACAGGGGTTATAAAATAAATACCTTATGTCCAATAATAACTTATTAGCAAGTGAGATCGTGCCACTAAGATGTGATAACTTTTTGTGGAACTTTTACACCAGCTCCTTAAACATCAACCAATGTAGATCCACACAGAAATACTTACTTCAGAGTTACTGTCCAACAGGCATCGAGAAATTATTGTATCTAAGAAAACTTCGTGAGCAGCAATGATGTGATCAAGATCCTGTGCCTGCTGCACTTTATTCCATAGTTCATCCCAAGAGCATTCCAACACCTACAAGAAAAACAACTGGTCATTTTGAACCATCCCTGTATCCTGCCACAAGACTCTACAATACCTATTTGTCCAAACTTTATTGCACATGTATTTCCCCTTACTGTTTCAGTCTATATTTTATTAGCTACATGTATAAAATACTGATTTCTAATCTGCATAAAGGGACCTTTAAGCCAACTGAAAAATAATTAGAGCAAAAATGAAACCTAAAACAAACGCAGTCAACTATTTATTGCACTTTGTCATGTTTATGGAATGTAGAAACATGATCATGTAACATTAATATCACTAAATGACAGCAAATCACATTAGAAAAAAAAACTGTGGTCACAATTTAAAATTCAGTGCAGAATTATGTACATTTAGTTGACCTGTTGCACATTTATAATAAATAGATTTCAACAGTTTGAAAATCTGAAATGCATCACATATAAGCGATTGGCGGACTGAATTGAGTAAAATGATACCTACAATATTAAACTGCATACTAGGAGAGTTTCGTAAAGACTTAATGAGCATGAGGCCGGGGTGGTACTGAGTGACATAAACCAGGAATGGAACAGAATTGATCTATGTCCTTTGTTGCCTGATCTCAGCCAGGACAAGGATATGAGTGGGTACAATGGGGGAGATTGGGAAGATGAGTGTAAACAAAATCCAAGTTCCCTACTCCCAATTCGTATCGTGGTATGATGGCAATGGTGGTGATACTATAGTGAAATAGCTTGCCAAGCCTGCACAGACTAATTCATGAAAAATGGCCACGTGGGTGAGAGCTGTTCTTGATCTCAGTCAGAAGGACAGAAATGCTGAATTGTCACCAAGCCGCAGTTCTCATTATCCAACAAATCTGGAGCCTGCCGCAAGTCACCCACCCTCTATGGCATCAGCAGTGAAAGAACAGCGAGAGACTGGGGGCGGGGGGAGAAAAGAGTAATATTGACATAATATTAAAAGGAAACAAAATGTAAATGGTGCTAAAATATATTTAAAAAAACACACTCAGCTCACAATAATATTACAATAATGCATCTTGATTTGAATTCTCAGAAATTCAGCTCTCAACCAAAACCTTTGGCTTCTGAAAACACTTTAATGTTTTCTGTGCATTCTTTGTCCGTGCTTATATCAGCAGAGTTCACACATAATTAGCTTCAAAATTGCTGAGCCAGAAGCTGATTATAAAATGGCACCAAAACATAATTTAAAATTAGCAATACTCATGTTAAAAATAATATGACTTGAGTGTAATTACGATTGTATTAAGCCGTTTGGTATATATGAAGAATACCTCAAAAGTAATGTAATACTGCATTTGATGGACAAAATGGACCATTTCCGAAGCCAAGATGTGACACTGATGAAGCACCCCCGATAGCTCTGCAGGGAATCCAAACATAAAGCAATAAACTTCAAAACAATAGCAGAAAATTCAGATCACAGAAGACAAGACCCAAAGCAAATTGCAACATCATCAGCAACCCAATACTTCATTACAAAAAAGTTTGCAGGATCATCCATTTTTCATTAGCTAATAAAACATTCTGGCAGGTTGTCATCACTAATTTTAATGCATTATTATTAACTAGCCAGTAGTGATAGAAGACCTTTCAAAATTAAGCCTGGCGCATACAAAACAGAAAAGTACTCAGCCATCTAATCAGCTAGTGTTACATGAGCTAACAAAACATACAAGCCTCTCGCATCTTCAGTCCCACGAGGTTAAATGAAACCCAATAGAATTACATGCAATATTTAGATATTAAAATCTTACACCCTACAGCTTTGAAATAGGCTCTATATTAGACTTCTGTTATAGTTGCTGTCTGCAGAATACATAAAAAATTCAAGATCTACAATCAGTTAAGAGGAGAAAATGACATTTCTTTCAGTAACTGCTGCACGACCGAGCCAGCCAATGGAACCTGAACCTTTGAACCTGACCCCACGTCCTTCAAAGCTTTTCATTTTCTTCGTGCAAGATAAAAAAAACACCTTCAAAAGGGTTGAGTGTGTAGAGTCTAACCAATTAGCCACTCTATTCATGACTTCACCCCAGTTCTCCTTTGCTGACCCTATATATAGTGTACAATGTGCAAAAAAAAAGATAAATCTGTTCAATGTATTATTAACGATATAGACTGGAAACGGGTCAGCCTCATCATTGTCTCTTTGTAGCCTCACAGCAACACATTCTCGTGACTTAGATAATACTACAGGAGACACAACACAATAGCAAGAGCTGCAAAAGCAGAGCAAGCTGTCAATACAGCTTCATACTGTCAATAGCTCCTCCTGATATCAATTTGGAACACATAATGAGGCAAAAGCTTAAATGTGAAATGTCCACTGGTAATGAACGAGATTTGGGACGGATTACAATAAATATTTGCCAACATTTAAAATTAGTGAACTACTGCTTTGAATTAGTCCAGCATTAAATCATTATTATTTCTGATTAAAACGTGCAGAATTTTATTTTAGGCAAACCTTTAAAATTAATCTCTGGTATTGCCCTAAGAAGGCAAGGCATCTATCCGGGTCTTTACCCCACACCCAAGTCCCGGACCCCCTCCCATCTTAATATAGCAAGAGTTATTACAGGCAGATTGTTCATCTTTTGGTATAGTAGTTCTCACTCTTCATATTAAGGTACAGTATTTTGGGTAAAATCTCCTGCCTCTTTCAAGAGATTTCAGGCTCCACATGCCATTTCTATCCTGAAGTATTAAACAGAGCAACCCCAGGAAGCCATTTTTTAAGAGTTCTTTAATCCAGGAGGGGAAGATATTGTAGAATCCATTGATTGCCAGAAGCCACAGTATGTAGAGGATATATAGAAACAAACCATAAGATACAAATTGTATCCCATAAATTAGCTAACTGATGGCTCATAAGTCACTGCTATAAGCAGGTCATAAATTGTGGCCTCTTCATCATATATTCATCAGGTAAGTATAATACAATGTAACCTCATCTATCCCCACCCAATTATCTGCTACAATCCGCCTGCCTTCCCCATCAGTATTGTCGAATTAATGTGCTCTTCTATCTTGCTCTATGCCTAGCTACTTAATAGCAAAGGCAATACAGTTTATTCTATTGGAGATGGGAGAATCATATGTTGCCCTATAGGCTGAACTTTCGGCTGCAAATAGCTGGTTACGTCTAGAAAAATCCACCAAATTAAGAGTTTTTGTTATTTTCCAATTTTCTATTCAAGTTGCTGACTCTGAGGCACTTCATCCAATTGGTCATTCTTCATGTGCGAGTTCAGGCATTAAATATGAGGAATATTTATCACAGTTGAGACCCATGTACTTTCCAACAGGTCACTGGATAGCAACAGAATTCCCATCATCGCTTGCATGAGAACTGAGACGTCCTAACTCACCACAAAACAGGGATCAGACCTGATATCTTTCTTGGGCCCTTTGGTTCTGTAATCCAACACTAAGGAATTCATCAATACGCCATTGGAGGACAAAAAGAACAACAAAATTACATTTGTATAGCGCCATTCATGTCAAGAGGCCATCCCAAGGTGCTGAACAGTCAGAGTTTCGAAGCCGAGCTGTGGGTCGGGGAAGGTGGAGGGCAAGGGGGGGGAACCAGGGATATCAAAAGCACGATCGAAGAGGAGGGTCTTGAGATGGGTCTTGAAGGTGGCAAGGGAGGGGGCGAGGCGGAGGGACTGCAGGATGGCGTTCCAGATGGTGGGGGCAGAGTGGCAGAAGGCCTGCCCACCAATAGTGGGGCAAACGAGGCAGGGGATGTGAAGCAGGCCGGAGCCGCTGAGTAGAGGGAGCTAGCAGAATGGTAGGGGGTTAGGAGGTCATAGAGGTAGGGGGGAGCAAGACCATGGAGGGCTTTGAAGATGAGGACCAGGATCTTGAACTGTATCCTGTGTGTGGTGGGAAGCCAGTAGAGTTGGGCGAGGATGGGGATGATAGGATCGCGGAGCCTAGTGCAGGAGAGAACACGGGCTGCAGAGTTCTGGATGAAGAACAATTTGCCTTTATACGGCGATTTTCACATGGGGTAGCTTCTGAGCGCTTAATAGTTTAAAGGAGAAGGAAAAGGAAAAGTAGCCCCATCTCCCTCTTAAAAATTGCAGAACAATAGTTACACAGAAAGCACAAGAAGTTCTTTTCCCCATATCTAGCCCTTTTTTCTCCAAGAATGTTGGTCTAGCAGCAAGGAGCTATGATTCCTGCACTAAGATATTGAGGCTTCAATCTGAGGTCCTGTTTCCCTGTTCTGGTGAATGTTAAAGATCCAGGAACTATTCGAAAGGAGAAAGCAGTTTCTCTCAGTGTCCTGACTAACCACAATCCAGATTAATTGGTATTTCACCTCATAGTTATATGTAGGATACTGCTTTGGGCTGAGTTTGCCTACTAAATAGTCACCACCATACTTGATAGTAATTATATTGAAGCACTTTGAGACATTATAAAAATCACTATGAAAATGCACGCTCTGACTTTCCAAGTATTTATGTACTTTTCAAACACCTAAATCCATTACATAACCAGATGTCTAGACAGTGAACCCTTTGTGTGAAATGTTTTCTGGTTTCACATTGAACCATCGTAACTTCAGATTTAAGATTACGTCCCCATTTTCTGGATTTCTCTACCAGAGGAAGACAATGTATGAATGAAGCAAGTTTCTTTCTGATCATTCAATTTCAGTTAGCTTTCTGTTTTTTTATACCTTCTAAAATTTCCCAGGATCACAGGTAATACAGCTATTACTACAATATAGGTGTTGCCCTCAGTGTCACAACACAGATGTAAAATGTAATAAACATTTAGGTGGGTGATATGAAGAACAAGGGGGATTTTAGATTAAAGAATTTAGATTCTGTCTTCTGGCAAGAGTTTCTTGCTACGCATGTCTGGATTCTGGTTGTGTTGAACAGAATATTTTGTATAATAGTGTACATTATGTATATACTACATATATGTGTATATATATGTTTGTCTTTCTTGTGCATTACTGTTAAAAATAATTACGTAAACAAATTGTAGCGTATATTATAAATAAAGAGAATTGTAGCATTGATCTCCGGAGTAAACCCANTTTTTTTATTCGCGCAAAACTATTTTCTCAGTCTTTTACTGTAACTCAATTTAATTCCAATTGCTTTTTGCGTTCATATGCTAGACAACATTCAACCAAGACACTCCACTCTTTCCCAACAAAATATAATCAATCAACCCAAGGTCAAGGATTTTTTATGCAATAAAAGGAATACAGTGAGAATCACGGTTGGTTTGTTCTGAAACTGCGAAGCAAGTCATAGTCCTCTACTGCTCCCTGGTGGTTTATTCATCAATTACAAATTTCAAAATGAATATCACGGCAGATGCATTTCCCCAAAAATCTCACACAGCACCCGAATCTCTTTGTGAATCTGTTCCCTCTAGAAATGTTCCCTTCTGTCCCAAGTTAAGGCTTCCCCTGATCAACTTGTGTCTATCCAGATGCATAACTACTATTTCATGGATGGTAGATTCCATCACTGATGTCAAATGTCAAACACACTTGATTTACAATCGAAAGATTATCTCTATTTCCCTTTGTGAATAGAGGTACAAAATTCCCCACAATATTCGTTTCAAGACCCTCCTCTTCAACCGTGCCTTTGGTCACCGTCCTAGCCCTACCCACCCTCCAAACCTCCTGATCCCAATCCCCTGCTCGGATCCAAAACTCTGACTGTCCAGCGCCTTGGGACGTCCTCCCAACGTGAAAGGTGCTATACAATTGTAATTTGTTGTGGTTGATGCTATTGTCACCTTCCAGGCCTTTGGTAGCATACCAGAATCCAAAGAGCTCAAGAAGCAATTAATAATATAATCTTTGCATTTGATATAGCGCCTTATCACATATTTCCACCTTATGGCTCTCCTCTCTTTGTCACATTTACTTCAAGTGACTTTAATTCAATTATACTCTTAATTCTACCTCTATCATCCATCCACCAAGGCTCTTTACAAATTCTCCAAGATTGTTTGCATTCTCTTCATTGAGTTGGAGTCAATTCAACTTGTACAGCCACCCTTTACCAAGGGCCCTAACAATCCAGAAACCTAAATCATTCCCTACAATACTAGCCATAAGGCCACCCATTCAATCGTTGTGTTAACCATGATTGGTATGCAGAGAGGTAAGCTTCTGTTGCTCAAGCACTTACAACTTGTGCAGCCATCGTTGTATGGGTAGGGATGTGTGTCCAAGCTGTGGATGGTGACATTGTTTTTCAAAAATCTGTTGCAGTTACCTCAGTTTTTCTGGTCCAGTTTGTGATGTAGGTAATATTCCTGTGAATATTACATTTCAGGGCTTGCCTTTTAGTTTCATCCTTAGCTCTACATATGTCCTATGTCAGTCCTCAGGCTCTGGTCTTTCCAGGTCATTGGTTCTAACATGAACAATGACCACTGGCTGTTCACCCATCCCCACTAGAACTTTGTCAGTACATTTCCATATGTTCCTCACCCTGAAGGAAACTTACAGTAGTGGATTCAGGTCACATTTACAAACATGCCCATCTACTCCCAATCATACAGTCACCCATTACAATAGATTAATCAGGAAAGACAGAATTAGTTTTGTTAAGCAATTGGAACCACCCCCAACGAGATGGAAACTTATCATTACTTTACATGTACAAAAATTTTCGGTGGCTCCCCCGATGGGAAAAGCAACACTTTCCCAAATAATAATAATCCTTGCATTTGATATAGCGCTTTTCACGTCTTCTGGACATGTCAAAGCGCTTCACAGAATAGACTGTAAAGTGAATTGACTGTATATTTGTGGGCGAAATGCAGCAGCCAATTGCACACAGCAGTGTCCCACAAACAGTCGTGGATTGAAATGACCAATTTATTATTGNTTTTTTTGAGGGATTATTATCAGGCATGTGGAGTAAGGAAAATTGCCCAAGGTTTCACCCTGCTGGGAATCGAACCCAGGTCTCTCGCTTGCAAAGGGAATGCTCTAACCACTGAGCTACAGGACTCCACCACTAAGATAAATGAACCAGAAAGCCATAGGATCGAGTCACGGTCTGCAGTGTGCAAAATGTCAGGGCATCACGATTTGCCTCAGAAAATGCTAAAGGAGAAACAATACCACTTCTCTCTATTCAGAATAGTAATAACACCTTCTTAAGAAATGCCATACCTGGTATGCTTTTTAACAGTTTGGAATTACACATCTGTCCCTTCCATATGTCTGTAAGAACATATTCCATTCGCTTTGCTCTCCAAAGAAAGTTGAATACCCTTAAGTAGTGGCTCATACATTCTCGAGTAAACACCTGAAATGGAATAGAAATCAGAGATAAATTAGATCGGTTTCCAACAAATATTGTTTTGATAGAAAATGATAACAGCAAATCTCATATATTTAAAGGGCTTGAGCTTATAATCGAGCCACGCACTCCACTGCTGAGTGAGTGCTGCAAAGTTGACATGTGGTCCTTCTGATGAAATATTAAAATTGAGATCTTGAGTCAAAATGCTTAACATTCAATGAGTTACTTGAAGTATAGTGTATATTTCCTGTTGATATCTTAACATGAAATAAGAAAACTAATCTGCACCATCACTATCTCATAGTCAGCACTGAAATGAATGCTCAGGACTTTATTTGGTGAATTTGGATCATGGGAGATCCATTGGTCAGGACACAAGATGAACTCACTGATATTCAAAATAACACTATCATTGGATCTTTAATGTTCACTAAACTACCAGAACAGACTGGTGGGATCTCAGTAAGAAAGGCAGCACTTTCAATATTGCGTAGTGTCACTCTAAACGAGTGGTGACTAACCTGTGGCTCACAGGGCCGTCAAAATGTGCCCCCCACCCCCCTGCACATTCGCACGAGTATATTGTTGTTAGTCCATGTTGTTAGTTTTCAGTTTTTCTTAATTGGCTGCCACAAATCAAGAAGTAGTCAATCAAGAAAATTTATTTTGTTAGCCGACCATAAAGGACGGCCAAAACTGCTCTAGATTATGAGCTCAAGTCCTAGTGTGAAACGTGAACCTACAACCTTCTATCCTACATCTTCGACATGACTATTTTATATTTTGTGTTTTACCTTCTATCCCATGTCAAAATTAAAAATGTTTTTCCCTTTTAATATGTGCAAGAACCAATGTGCAAAGTTGTTTCCTTAAGAAAATATAGAGTTGACATTCACAAGAAATACAAAAAGTGAACATTTCTTAATGCTGATTTTTAAACTACATTTGATTTAACGTCGTAGATTCCTGATTAAATGCCAATAGTTGTACATGCAAAAATAAAAACTAAACTGCCCACAATATTCACACATCCTCTGGGTCTCAGACATATCTTTTCTTTCTATAATCTCCCACTATTATCTTCTTTTGTCAACACCTCTGGCCTCATCATCTTCTGTCCTCCAACTATTTTTTCCTTTGTCTTTCTTTCCCTCCCCGCTTCTCTGTTTGTCCTATAAACTGCTCCCTTCCAACATCCCCAGTTATAACAAAAGGTCATTGACCTGAAACGTTAATTTACTTTCATCTCTCCGTAGATACTGCCTGACCTGTTGAGTGTTCCCAGCAATTTCTGATTTTATGCCAAACGTAATCCTGTCGATCAGAAAAATATTGTTGAGGTAGACTTTGACGTACTTCGTGAAGACCAATGATTGATAATAGTGGCTGTATAAAATTGGAAATCCTAGTCTAATTATTTCTTCTCTCTCATAGTAATAGATTTCCAATTCTCCTATTCTGAAAGCACTAAACCATACTGGAGTCCAGTTCCACAGGCACCACCACTTTCAATTAACTCATCAACCTGCCAATTCTTCATGGAGCAGAGACATCAAATGTCAACACACTATTTGAACATTGTAGATCAGTCAAGCCTGCTCCTTTCTTCACCTGATATACACACATTTTTCAGTAAGATGCTTCAAAGTCGCTTTACAATAACTCTTGAGACCCAGCACCATGTAGCGAGATATTATTTTGATCAATATATGCGTGACTTTTGAAAGGTTCACGTCAAAAGCCCCAAATGCAGTTATAGTCATTTGTTACATCCTTTCCAAAACTAAAATAAGCTTACAGGAAATGATAAAGATTTTCCATGTGACCTTTCTGTTAATACAAGAAAAACAAAGCAAAATGACTCAGTGCTGCTAATACCTTTTCAAATGTGTTTAACCTACAGCTAATGTTAAATGAGAATGGTACGGTTCTGCTAAAATACTAAGAAAACAGTGAATTCCAATCAATATTTTAAAACCACTTTAGCCACTGAACCTTTCAGCTGCCATGAATTATTCATTTGAATTGAATTTTAAGCTGAAACACCAAGAAAATGGGAACAGTCGTAAATGCCAAGATCTCCCAAGTCCAAAGAAGCTTTAAACTAAGCTGGTGAGACTGAATTATTCAGGTTTTGCTACAATTATCACTTCACTTACTGTCGCAATTGGGCCATCCACATGATAGTCTAAACTAAAGACATCCCAGCCCGTGTCTCCAGTAGATATCTAGGAAAAAAACAATACATTTTAACAAAGGCTGGCCAAAGAGACGTTAATGAAAGACTAAGGTGTAATAAGGGAAAACAGTTTGTTGTATTATACGCAAGAAAAGTCTAGCTAGTTTTAGTACAAAACACAAGACTCATTAAACTTGCTTTTAACATGGTTTAACACCACCCTAACCTGATCTTTTTCAGATTTATAGCTAACAGTTAGCTGTAGAGGGAAGAGTTGGGGAGGCTGCCCTGGTTGAACAAGACACCCAGGTTCTGTCCTTGAATGGTTCAGGTCTTATCTCTCAAAATGTCTTCCAATTTGTCGCTGCCAACAGTTTCTCTTCCAGCCCCCGCACAGTCTTGTGTAGTGTTCCTCAGGGATCTGTCCTCAGTCCCCTCCTCTTCAACCTCTACATTCTCCCTATGGCGACATCATCCAGACATTGGGACAACTTCCACATGTCCGCAGACAGCATCCAACTCTATCTCTCTGCCTCCACCCTTGATTCTAGGACAACTGATGTCCTGACAGACTGTCTGTCTGACATCATGTCCTGGATGAGAGCCAACTTTCTACAGCTGAATGTCAGCAAGACTGAGGCCCTCTGATTGGTTCGCACCAGCGCCTCAGCACCTCAGGCACTGACAGCATCTGCATCCACGGTTGCACACACCACCTCACTAATCCAGTTAGGAACCTGGGCTTCTTGTTCGACCTTCAACTATCCTTTCTCCATATCCATGCCAATGACTCACTCTGGCTTCCCCCACCTCCGCAACATTGCCCGACTTCGCCACTGCCTCACCCCTCAGGCCGCTAAAACCACATACACGCATTCATCACCTCAAGGCTCGACTATGGAAACTCCCTCCTTGTCAGCCTCCCCAACTCTTCCCTTCACAAGCTGCAGATCATCCAGACCTCTGCAGCTCGTGTCCTCTTTCACACCAAGCTCCATGACCCCATCACCCCCACCCTCGCCTGGCTCCCCATCCCTCAGAGGATCAAATTCAAAATCCTCGTCCTCACTTTTAAGGCCCTCCAAGGCCTTGCCCCTTCCTACATCTCTGACCCCCTATCAACCTATCCGCTTCCTCCGCTCAGCAGGCTCCAGCCTGCTCCAAGTCTCCCACCTGACCTGCTCTACCATTGGTGGCCAGGCTTTCAGCCTCTCTGCCCTCACTCTTTGGAACTCCATCTCACCATTCCTTCAACTTGCTCCCTCTTGACTCCTTCAAGGCACGACTCAAGACCGTCCTTTTTGACTGTGCCTTCAGCCTCCCTCCTACTCCTTCTGCCCTCCCTCATCCCAACTCTGCCCGCCACGCTCGGGTTCTGATCCTTGACTATTCCGCGCCTAGGGACATCCCAACGTGAAAGGCACTTTACAAATGCAATTTTGTTGTTTGTTGTTGTTAGCAGCATTAACAGATACCTAGTTTCTTATGCGACGGGTTCAAACAAGTATTCACTGCAAAAATCAAATGTAGTTTCAATGGAATCAAAGCACAAGTAAATATATTTGTAAAATCGGTAAAACAAGTGATATAAATACATTTAAAATTAAAAAAAAGATTTTGAGGACAGCTGAACTAATTGCAATAAGCATTGAAAGAAATGCATGAGTGAAAATTAAATGAGAAGTGGCTCTGTGAACCCCAAGGCTCCCAATTCAATGGAATCTGCCATTTTACACTGTCGGGTGGTTTCACAACACTGACTGCATATGTACACACATGACTGCATATGAACGTTTCTTTGAAAAAAAACCAAGAAAGGGAAAACCAGGTTTTCCCTTGCTTGGTGTAATAGTTTTTCAATCTATGGTGAAAGTTCATGCTCAGCAGCAATGTGAACAGTGCAACACTAGCCTGATTTCAGTGAATTTGACTATTAACAAAGTACAAGCTTGTTGGACTAATTTGCTGTATGTGCTTATTTCTAGAAAACAGAAGAAATTGGAAGCTAAGGAAAAAAACACATTCAGCCTTACAGATCAACCGAGTCTTTGGTGTGTTCAGTTTGGCTCTGTGGACAGTCTAAGCTTTGGGGTTCTATCAATCTGGTCTAAACAAGCGAATAAAGTAAAAATCTGGGTAGTTTCTCAAGTTGCCATCCAAAAGCTGTGACTTGATGTTCGCCAGAAATATCTTGAAGGTTTATCACTGAAAACATTTCCTCACATTCAAAGTGGAGGGTGAGTCTGGATATAGAAATTCACAGAAGTTATTTTTCTTAAAATCCCACAACACTAGAGTGTGTTGAAAGCTGAACTGCCACCGAGTGTGTGGAGAGAAAATAACTATTTCTGTGAGAAGCACTTTTTTTTTGTGAGGCATGAGATAGCAAGGGAGACCAACCTAGTTTTTTTTAAAAAACTGACTGACAATTACTTGCATTTCTAGCACATGCCAACTCCAGCCTTCTTGACTTTTTACCTCGTAACAATTTAAAATAAACAATTGAACTAAGTCCTAAGTAATCCACAACCTTCTTAAACTGATTCGACCATTATACTATTCACCGTTCTGGTGCCACTGTTGCAACGTGCCTTCATAATCATCTTTGTCCTGTTCCTGTTCTTTTTAAATTACACTAGAATTTGACAGCACAGCATGTCATCATTTACATCCTATTTGTTAATGTCAATATGTTAGAATTGAACACAAAAAGCTGAAGATAATTATGCTCCCCATGAAGAATGACAAACTAAAATATACACAACATTACAGAATACAAAAGTATACTGGACTTTACAGCACATCATACCAAGCAATATTTTATTAGTTTGTTCAAGTCTACTTAAAAGGCCAACAAACTTATTAGCAGTTTTGTGCTTTGGTCATTTTGCATTAAACCACACTAGTCAGCAGAGAGAGAGAATTCCAACCAATCAGTCTGGGTTGGACTGGTTTCCAACACAGGCCAAATATATGAAAGGACAGAGTGCAAGATCACAGCAATACCCAGTCCTTTACATTGGTCTTTTCTGCTTTTGTGCACATCTAGGTTAGTAATTACCTCCAACAGTCGAACATCCAGGCGCTTGAGTATCTCAGGACTATCGTACTGTGCATTTGTAGCTCTGACGGCTGTTTCAAGGATTCCAGTCAGATTATGCTGATATAACGTGGAGGCTGATCTTGCCAGCTCTGGTCTATAACAAAAGAACTGTAAACGTCAATATACATTAGAAATATTTTGCCAAATAATTTCTAGTTCCTAAACCATATAATGGGATCTGATTCACAGTATTTCTTAGAAGATTTCTTAATAATAAAGGTATTGTTATTACATTTCTGAAATGGTGATTGTGCTGCAAATTATATCATCAAATTTGTAAAGCAATGAATGCATTCTTCACCACATACAATATTTTAGAAATTCAGTAACATAGTTTACAAGAATACAGCAAATTAGAGTCAAGCGTATCTAACATAAACTAAATATACAGAAAAGGTGAATACAGCACACCCCCATTACAATGCGGTCGTTGGTGTCCATGAAATCTATAAACAAGGCCATGAGTGGAATTGGTAGTGGTTAGTCCACTCTCCTCACAAGCAAGAGGATCTGGGTTCAATTCCCAGCCGGGGCAAAACTTTATGCAAGTTGCCTTACACCACACACCTCTGTTTACGGAGCACTAAGTAGGAATCCGATTGTTAGTCAATTGGCGGATCGCTTCCCGGAGGTAATTATCCCTCAAAAGAAATGTGGTCACTGAATCCATGACTGTTTGTGGGACATTGCTGTGCGCAATTGGCTGCCACATTTCGCTCACAAAATTCACTTTACAGTATATTCTGTGAAGCGCTTTGAGACGTCTCTACGATGTGATAAGGCGCTATATCAAATGCAAGGATTATTATGATTATTATGAAAACAAGTTTCTCTACTCAGAAGTAATTCTAGTTCAATTCAAAATCATGTCTGAGATTAAACTGGTAACAACAGCACCAGGAAGGAAAATACAGTATCCAACAGTCTTAGGTCAGACATTTTAATTTGCCACTAAAAAGTCTGGTATATTTTTCTGGCAATATGCTTGAAGATAATTGTAGAATATCACAACCACTAAATCAATGTGCCTTTATAGTTCCCAATTTTTTTTAAAATTGCATTTAAAAGAGACTACCTGTATCACATTTTCATTCATTCTTTCTTGACTTAATACACCCCAGGCTACATTTTACTTGTGAATACATGCAATGAGGCAAAGTTGTCAAACTGCAAAATAAACAAGCTCCTCTGAAGCCTTGATTAGTACAACTACTGTCTAAATGAAAATGCGTCATTCTCAGATGGTCATGGGCTTGACACCCAATTTGATCTCAGCTAAGGCAGTAGAAGCACTAAAATTATTCCCAGCTCCTAAACTTGAGCAGAAGAAGGAGAAAAATAATCTAGGATTCCCTTTCTTAGTGCTAAACATTGTCACTGCTGGAATAAACATATTATGGTGAGAACAAGATCAGGCTTCAGTTGTGATTCTCACACAAACAGCAGCCACTTGGATGAGGTATTGAAAGGTGCCAGCACCCAGGGAACCATATTCCTAGCTTCCTATGTCAGCAGGAAGAGAAAACTGAAGGGAGGAAAAACATTCACACAGGAGGGTAAGTGTATTGTTTGGATTTACCGATAGTGCGTGTTGAAACCAGACTCAGCAGACCCAAATATTTTGATTAAATAAACCAAGTTGAGAAAAGGGTGGAAACATACAGAACAAAGGAGCACAATTCTCAAGCATATCTGTGTTGCCTCTCCCACAAATCAATAATCAGAGCAATGTATAGTCAAGCAAAATGAGGAACTATAGGCTGTATTATGTATTAAGGATATCCATAATTCACGACTCTCAAATCTCCAACATAATAATGAAGAAAGATTCAAGACTGCAGAAAACTGAATACCCACTTTAACAAGTCCATCAGGTGTCGAACAAAGTCTCCTTGACCCAATAGCAAGTAGCGTCGCACTGCCTTCATGTGTTCCAGCAAATGGTAATTCTTGTTCAGAACGTCAAGTAGATATTTACTGGTCTCGTTGTAAGCGGCATCGATTTTTTCCTGGAATGCACCTTCCAAATCAGTGAACAAAGCAGCCGCTAGAATGCAATGAAATTTAAGGACAAAGCAAAAATAATCAAACACAAAGAAAAAAGCCAACACATTCATAATATGCCCAATAATCTTTTGCATCATAATGAATCATACAACAGAAGTATTTCACCCATTTACAATCAGACTGTAATTTAGTTAGTTATTCAAGTTATGTTGAATCTCAATGCAAAACTAATCTTACGATTGAATGACCAAACACTTCAAGCAAAACTTTTGAATAAAGTTTTTTTCTGATAAGCAATAGAATCTACCAGAGTAAACAGATCTTATCTATGACATATAGATCAATAGGACTTAAGTTTCAAAATCACATAGTATTGGAGAGTCTGAATTGGTTTATTGATTTTAGGTGACAGCATGACTGCACTAAAATTTTATTCATTTCTCAAGGACCTTCCATCAGTTCACATCAGAATGGAATTGGGAAGTTTCATTCACACAAGCACTTTGTACAAAACTGCAAAGTTTAGAAGCACTAGATATCGCTGACAACCTGAGATTAAAGTCAAGCAGTTTCAACCAAAGTAACACCTCCCATACCATCTTTTGGTGAAACAACAGATTTTGTAACAGCCATCATCTTTGCAGTAGGTGTTCGGTCATGACACACTTGATGTAAGAAATTAATAGATTTTCCTATCAAAAGCACCTGAAACAGAAAAGAAAAAAAAGGGAAAAATTAAAAGAACAAAATAAAAAGAATTCAAACACACTGCAGAATTGTCCTTGTTTCTGACCAAATAGCTTGTAAATTCATATGTATTGAATGGAATAAAAATTCTAATGGCAATTATTTCAACTCTGGCCACCCTTTTTTATTTTGTAATATTTACAGGTGTCAGATTCTCTGGAGTAACTTTATTTGGAGTACTCTGGAGTAAGTTTATTTCTGACAATTAAACTCTACAATCCGTCTTTATGGTTAGAAATATTTTTTTCACACCTTAATGTTAAGGGAATTTAATTTCATTTGAAGCCAATGCCCTGAACATATATTCTCTTACATTTCTAACTTGGTCTCTATGCATCTGAAAATTTGTTTTTCGGCTCAATATAGTCATATGAAATGTGTGGTCAGCTACTATGGAAATGCCTGCTCAGAGCATGATTTATCAGTACAGTACATTTAATGATAATAAATAATAATCCTTGCATTTGATACAGCACCCTTCATATCCAGCGGTTGTCTCAAGCATATAAAGCGTAGTGACTGTGCATTTTGCCAAGATGCACACAGCAAATCCTACAAATAGCCACAAAGTGAATGAACCAATGATCTAACTGAGTTGTTGGTAAGCACCATGTGTGTATGTAAAGAAATCAGTGAGTCTGATGATACTGGCAGTCAAGGCACACAGATGACAAATGGCCAAATGGACAAGTTATTGGATGGGCAGCCAAAACCTACAGAACTATTCCCCTACAGCAAGAGAAAGGAGTCCAACTCCTTCAGGATTGGAGGGGAGAGAACAAAAAAATCTTGAGTTGGCATCCAATTTATAGGCAACAGTTACTCAAATAAATACCTTTCTGGCCTTATCCATTGTGATGAAGGAAGGAATCATTGACTTTCGCAGAGTGTATTTATCATGCCACAGTCTATCAGTCTTCACTGTTGGATCAGAGGCTACAAAAAACTTCAAAGAACAGTGAGAAATCACAATGAAATACTGAAAGACATTCCTACACGACATTTCCAGATACAAATGCAAAGCTGCAAATTCCTTATGGAGCTTAAGTACCTTTTCGGATACTTGCAAGTTACTTAAGCATTCTGAATGCATACTTGTGCTTTAAGTTCGATCTTTATTATAGTGATCTTAAATTATTTAAGAGTGACCATTAAACATGCATTTTATTTGTAGAAAGCTACATAGAGGAGTAGTTTTATTAATCTCAATTATCTCTACTATAAATCTTGGATTGAGCAAACAATATAGCTAATTATCTTCAATCTAAAAATATTCTATTCCAACATTATATATAGGATAATGGTAGTCAAAGTCACATTATTCCAATCTCCAGGAAAGGGTGATGAGATTGAGTTAGCAGCCCCTCGAGCAACATTAACAACTAATTTCTATACACTGCCAAAGAGAGTGCCTTTCATTAAATGGACTTTACAATTAATGCTCCTTTCAAGCTTACGCCTTTGCTTTTTTCTAAAAAAAACTTTTACACACATGACTAACATGTATACAATGACTAAAACATTATATATAAAGCTGCAACACTTCAAAGGAAAAGTTGTTTGCTCCAAGACTCAACAAATAACATTAATGAGAAAAACCAATATTTTGACAATTCAAGAACCTTTGATGGGACAAAGAATCACAGGAACAGTATACAAGTCAAATAATAAGGTTAATGATACTTTAACCCTGTTTAATGGCTAAACCCCAAACATAATGTGAACATAAATAACTGGAGTATTATGGCCAGAGAGTACATAAACATTGGTTACCTTGTTGAAGAATGATTGGAACCTACTGTAATAGGTATTTTAACATAAAGCATTTTCCTTCAGTTTGGACACAGTACGTCTACTTCACACAAAACTGCTCTTATATATCCTCAAACAGTCCTGAAATCTATTTAAGAAGCTGATTTTCAACACAACCTAAAGAAGCACTGTAGAATAATACTTCTATCCACAATCATTTAACTGTGCAACAAGATAATGTTGTGAATAACAGAAGTCCTCCCATAACCTGGGGGTCGAGAACCATTGGCATAAGTTGGTTGCTATAAAAACAGAGCTTTAACAGTACAATAGTAAAGTTGTCAAGTAATTAAGATTGCCATAGTTCTGCTTTAGTGCATTAAAAGACAGAAAAAAATTAAAGATATAATCTATTCAATCAGTTAAATATAAAAAACAGGGGAATGGCACTAAACAACAAGCTCTTTCAGAAAGTCACAATAGATGTGGTGAACTGAATGGCCAGCCTTCTTGTGTTAGTTTTTGTGGTTCGTGTCTATAGTTCTGAAGGACTCCATCAGGCTACAGAACATGCAGTTAATGTACATATTCTCTTCAGGGAAGAATCCTAATTTTCTCAGAGTCACTGATGCCTCGACAAAAGGAGCTGTGTATGGTTTGAAGCACTGCCAATCTTTTGGGGAAGCAGCACCTTGAACCAATTTGGGAGCCAACCTAAACTGCCAACACTAGGAAAACATATAATCTCAGTGTTGCCTAATATTCACTGGTATTGTACTTTCTAGGATCAGTCAGCTCCATATCAGCTCCAAGTCAGTCCAAAACACTGACACTGACCAACATAAATTAAATGAAACTGCTCTGGAACCCACATGCACAGAGCAGCTCTGCAACTGATGAGGAGGATGCCAAGAATGTTCTAGATCAGAAGAGCCCTCAGTTCAGACAACATACTACATATTAATGATTATATTTTTCTGTTATATTGTTCAAGTCCTCAAATGGGACTTGAGGTACAGATCAGCCATGACCTTATAAAAAGATGGAACAGGCTCGAGGGGCTGAATGGCCTACTCCGTTTCTATGCTTCCATATCTCAGAGGAATATTTTGAACAAAAAGGTCTATTAGACTTCCATTACCCTTCAAATCAAAAATATTCATATTTTTTAAAAGATTTAAGTTACCATGACCATCTTGTTTCAAGAATAACCACTTCACTTGAAATAAATTCTAATCAGACCATAACCAAGACAAGAAGGCTGCTTCATCTAGAAATAATAGCATTTTCACAAATAATAATAATAATCCTTGCATTTGATATAATAAAATAATAATAATAATCCTTGCATTTGATATACCGCTTTTCACGTCTTCTAGACATCTCAAAGTGCTTCATAAAATGTACTGTAAAGTGAATTGACTGTATATTTGTGGGCGAAACGCAGCAATTAATTGCACACAGCAATTGTCCCACAAACAGTCGTGGATTGAAGTGACCAATTTATAATCTTTTTTTTCTTGAGGGATTATTATCAGGAAACTTGCCCAAGGTTTCATCCTGCTGGGAATTGAACCCAGGTCTTTTGCTTGCGTGCCAAATGCTCTAACCACTGAGCTACAGGACTCAAATCACTCACTTCTGACTAAGGCAAATCCTATGAAGGAGGGGAAAACTGTTAAATGCTTGTTGCTGTTTGTTAACAAGTAAGCACCTTGTAATTACTGCCATGAGAGCTGCACTGCTTACTCAGCTTCTAAAATACACTCTTGTTCCTTCAATCAATACTGTAATAGAATTGACAAGAACATCTGTACAAATTGCTTACCTCATGGTATGTGTCTTCCAGCTCTCCATCATAAATCCAGCGATACAAGAAGTTAAAGATGGGATGAGACACAAGACACAGAATGTGCTTCACCAGTGACCGCATGTAGGGGTCTCCTGTTTTAGTATAGGCATGGACAGCAGAAGCCAGCTCTCCACCTTTCCTTCCTTAACATATAATAACACAAGCATTAAAAGCATTGGAATTACAACACACAAGGTGGTCAATCTCCCATCAAAGCATTGCTGGTGCAACTCTTCCATTGGGACCCTTTAGAGCAATAGAATACCCCACCACCTCCCACCCACCCCCACACATACACACACACACAGGTGGCCAGCCAGCTGTGCAAAGTGCTTTGAGATGTCCTCTCGACATGACTGGCGCTATATAAATGTGAATTGTACTGTATAGATCCTTATGTCAATTCCCTTTTACACAGCTTATTCAATTCATTCAAGAAACAAACTCAAATTTAAAAAAAAAATAATTTAATCGGTTAAAATATTTGCCAATTTTCACATTATATTTTGGATTTTTGACCCATAAAATGAATGTGCTCAAATGGAGAAAGTTAAATCCACATTAAGCTTAGTTACTTGAAATTTCCAAATATTGCTGGTTTTGTAGTTGACATTATTAAACATGACTGACCTTGACAATGATCAACAAGTGCTGCTAGGGTTTTCAGTCGTATCTTGGGATCATAAGTCCAGATTAACAGACGACGCAATGTTAAACTATTTTCAAGTCCCACATTTACACCTTGGTCATCTTCCACTTGTATCTGTTAGGTGTGAACAGAAATGAGAATTATACTTTAATTCAACCTGTCCACTCCCTCCACTCAGTAGACTGCGGCCTGCTCCACGTCCCCCGCCCGGCACGCCCCATCATTGGCAGTCGGGCCTTCAGCTTCTCTGCCCCCCACCCTTTGGAACTCCATCCCATATTCCCTTCGCCTCACTCCCTCCCTTGTCTCCTTCAAGGCACATCTCAAGACCCTCCTCTTCAACAGCACCTTCTGCCACCCTCCTACCGTCCCTGCCCTCCACCCTTTCTGATCACAATCCCGCTGCTTGGGTCCAAATCCCTGATTGTCCTCCTGATGTGAAAGGCATTATACAGATGTAATTGCATTTTGTGTGGAGTCCTGTAGCTCAGTAGTTAGAGCACTCGGCTCTCAAGCGAGAAACCTGGGTTCAATTCCCAGCAGGGCGAAACCTTGGGCAAGTTTCCTTACTCCACATGCCTGATAATAATCTCTCAAGAAAAAGAAATAAATAAAAATAATACATGATCACTCAATCAAGACTGCTTGTGGTACACTGCGCAATTGGCTGCCGTGTTTCACCCACAAAATATAGTCAATTCACTTTACAGTATACTCTGAAGCGCTTTGAGGCATCTAGAAGACGTGAAAAGCGTTATATCAAATGGAAAGATTATTATTATTATTGTAATTCAGCATATTATCTTAACAAACTGATGGGAATTCGTAATGATTTCACAAGGATTTGGAATGGGATTGCAAAGTTACTGACTTAGTATGGCAGAATCTTTAGATACAGAGATAACATTCTGTAACTGGACTGGGGTAATCCATTTTCTTATTCTTAATTCATAGGCTTCCCCATATTTGCATCAATATTGAAAATAAAATTTGGCATGATACCTTGTTCAAACCATCAACAGGCTTGAAAAGTGTTCCTAAGCCATCAAAAGTTTGAACTACAGAAAAAGACTATTAGAAACATACTCAATCTGAGTCTTCAATCTGAGTTTTGCATCCGCAATCATCTGAGTTGGTTTAGTTACAATTTCCTACAGCAAACCACCCCAAATACAGCAGTATAACGGCAAAGGTTTGAATGATGTGCAGATCAAATGCACAGATACAAAGTCTTCAAAGTAGAAGACAACTTGAACCTCATTTAGGTATTCGAATACTCCCAAATTACAATCAATTTCTAGATATTCGAACAGTTTGCACCAATCATTATCATTGCATGAACATTAGGTATAGGCCAAAACCTTGATACTGCTTTTAAAGTACAATGCACCTTTAATCCATCTCGTTCTGGTTATAAATATTTAATGCTTTACTTTTAAAAGCAATGGCAAACAAGACATTTTTTCTTTTTCTTCTGGAATATGAAATACAATCCTTTACATGTATTTGCCAACAAATACCCAATCACTACATTTTACCATAAATCCTGTGAAGTGCTTTGAGACAATGACAACACGATAAGGCACTATACTGAATCCAAGGTTTATTATAATCATAATTCCTACCCTCCAGACATTTAAATACAAAAAAATAGCCTTTACGATATAAATAATCCATGAAAAAAATGGTCTCTAGCCTACCTTCCAGGGCACCATATACTGCTGACCTTGCCTCTGGGACAGCAGACAGGCCAGTTCTTGCACATGAACCCAGCCAACAGTGAACCACGTGGAGACGAGCAGTAAAAGCGAACTCACACTAACAAGACGTTAATAACCTTGTCACCCTGAATGTAGAAAATCTCAGAAAAAATCTTAATCCTTTAGATTTCCCTCTTATTTAAAAAAGGTTAAAGAAAACCTTCAAGTGCCTAAATCCCTAGCCTTCATGCTCCAAAACATCAGGTACATTATGAAGCCTATTCCTAAAGTACCACAAACAGAACCAAGGCCAGGGAACAATGAGCAGTGGTGAGCAGCTAAAGCAATCCATAGCAACTTGGCTTCAAAATAAGAAGCTTGATGTAGAAACGAGAAGCATTTCATTGTATTTTTGTGTATTGTTCTGTTAACAATATCAAAGTCTGCTACATTGGCAGTACTTGCTCCTCCAACACAATACAAAAGAGATGTGCGCTTTTCACAAAAAGCACAGAGCACTGAAACAACATCCCTCCAGTCGTATATATTCAGATTTAACTGAAAGGGTCATTTATTTTATCACCACATCTGCTTCTGTACATAGGATCAAATGCAGTTTGGGAACCACTTTTGACTAAAACACTCTGGGATGCTACATTGCAATAAGGAGGGCTATATAAATGCAAGTTGTTGTTGACCCAGAACTTCATAATTCAAATTCAGACCATTCAGATAGCTAAACTCAATGAGTCCGTGAGGTATTCACAGCACCCTAGTGACTGGGGAATTAGCAAAGATTATGGAAGAGTCGAAGCTTTTTACCTGGGAATGTAAAACAGACAGCAACCTGTAATATTCCTTTAGTTCCTGATGCAAGGAAGCACAAAAACTCTGTGGGGACAAAAACATAATGAGACAGTATTATTTATTGTTCTAAACTACTTATCTGCAATGTAGATGCAACACTTCAGTTGTTTTAATTACAATTTAGTAATTTAAAAACAATAAGTCAAAACCAGCTATTTGGTAATCTAAATACCAGCAGAACTAAAAGACAACTTTGACTGAAAGGGATGATTTGATGAATTAGACATTTTAAACATCAAACCATTACCTCAACCAAACTAAGGATAGCAGGTTTATTTCAGGCAGACTGCTCTTCACTTACACTCACTCCTCACAAGAACATGAATAAACAGAAGATGTTTGCTCAGATATTTCCACAGCATTCCAATGCTTCAACACCTCAGTTCAACATTCTGATAAAATCCCAGGAACACCAAGATGATAAGTTTTCTTTTACAAACACTGTATGCTGCTTAATTACTTTGTTGCTTTCTGGATCAAATATCAAAACTTTTGAAATATACCAAAAATGGTAGATTGGCCTCTGACAAGTTACCTGCATAAGAAAGAAGTGTGCAGTTTCCGTTTATACATGGCTGTTGAGGAATTTGCTCAGGCAGACTGTATGAAAATTGTGCATCTTGATCTTGTTGGGTAAAATTTTCTTTTCCAGTTAACTTAGTTGAAGCTATTCAATTTGGTAATAAATTCTAATAGCTAAATTATAAGGAATTGCTTATGTTCACAGAGCCCAATCCAGATTTATACCTAATTTTCTGTGTTCATTCAATACATTTTTCAGCATTATAAATGAGGCATTAGTCTTTAATTGCCAGCATCTTTAAAAATAGGTGTAATTAGAGAAGGATGAATACCAATGCAGTAGCAGGCAAAAAAGGTCAATGTTTCTCATACATTTATCACAATATGGTTGGATAGGTGCAAATAACAGAATAGACAAAAAAGGGTTAAATGTATATTTACAACTAAATGAACCCCAATCCTACAAATAACCCCAAATATTGCAAAAATATATGAGAAAATCAAATACTTGCACTATTGCACCACCTGAAAAAAAAATCTATCCCCTCATGATAAATGTGTGGAATTGCTAGAGCCTCCCCCTCCCTTAAGTGGGAGCTCAATTTGGCAAGCGGTCAAGCAGAGGGCAAGCAGCTGTCAAAATTCGCAGCAACATTCTAGGTGTTGATAACATTTTTAAGGTCACCAAAACCTAAGAAGTCAATGAATGATGCATGCTCTGCACAAAAGAAGCTTCACATTTCAACCAAGCGTTAACTGATGTGAGAAACATTTGATTTTGACAGCAAATCTGGCAACCTGAATAGCAATGGATGTTCAATCAAATTCCTTGAAATTACTGGTAGGTGGAGACACACACTATATAACTCAATACCCCAATGGGTTCAGCAAAAGCCCAGAGTAAATAATGACTAAGTAAAGCAGAAATGCTAGAATGCCACACCCTAATGAGGTACGCTTTGATAATCTGGAGCTTCAGGCCAAAGGCAAAGGAAGTTCTTTATGTCTGAAGCATTTCCTCCCAGTGAATCAAGCAATCCCGTCAGAACTTGCAGCTGAACTTGGGATGGGTTCCACAAAAATTGTGCTGCACTTGCAGAAAATATAAACAGTGTCGGGTGTCAGTTACCAGGAAGGAATCATGCATATCAATATTTTGAGGTTGGAATGTGAAGCATTCTCTGGCATTAAACAAAGTCAAAGATGACAAGTGTATAGAAAATAAAGCCTGCCCAGACTTGAAAACTACTCCCATACCTGTGGAAGCTCTTCTTGCACATTTCGTACACTTTGGTACAAAGTACAGGTTAGTCTCCTGATAAGTAATTACTCTCACTTCTAGCTTCCAATTTCCCTCTCCTACACCATCTATTGTATTTTTCTCTAATTTATCAATACTGCTGTGATTATTCTTACTTTGAACTTTCCATTATTCTTTTCCCAAGCTCTAATTTGGCGCCAAACAGAAAATGACCTTCAGTTGCAAACTGTGCTATTTTGAGGTTGCAAACAGCATATTGAAAAGGTCATTAGTTCAGATAAAGATACACACCATTAATCAAACATACCTGGCCCACAAGCCCAAATGCACGGTCTAAACACCTCTGGTCCGTGTACTTTCTCACTTTGTTATGAAGCCACCCAAGTTCTGCTAATCTACTTGTGGTATCTCGAAGCGACTTTGATATTCCCACCTGGAAGAAAAGAAACGTTCACTTGATGGATTAATTTTAAAAGCCGAACTTCCAGCCAGACGCATACACCATAAACATCATAGATATAAAAAGCAAGACCAATTCATACTCTTGACAAAACCATTGTTGTAGAAAATATACAATTTATTATATTGCATTTTTCATGTAAAATAAATGACTCAAAACCCTTTACAGAATTAGATCAATTAGAAATGAAGTGAATGCTATTAGAGGCAAGATATACACTCAGCTACGTTGTTGTGTGAGGCACTGAGCAGAAGCTTGGCCACCACCTATAGGAGGGACAGAATACCATGGCATTGCCTCTCAGGAGTGATCTGAAGAGCAAAAGCCTGTGGGATCAACAGCCTTCGTGGCCAGACTTGTGTGATCTGGCAAAAGGTGGAAATTTGCGAGGAATTCATACTCAACATTCCATGAATACAATTAACCCAACATTGGAACCTGATTAGGGGAAAGGAAAACAGTGTAAAACAACGTAAAATAGATCTTCCCAAATTAACAATTACTCTCCTTACCCCAAGATAGACTTAAAGAATAAAGGACTCAAAAGAACAAAGGATTGAACCAAAGGACAGCAAAAAACCCGCAGTACAGAAAAGCCAAGTACCCATTCGGTTCCCTGACCTGACCTCCCTGAATGGTAAAGTAGAACTGCAAATGGTGCAAAGCATCCAGCTTAAACCTTTAATGTGTAAATCTAAAATATTCCTAGGCAAGTTTATTTTTAACCTCAATCTTTCCTTGGCATTCAATTAATATTAAAGTAAGCAGGACAATTCATAAGATGAAAAATGGCACTGCCATTTGGATGCCAGACATAAAATCTGTGCACACATATACAAGTATAGACTAAAAAACAGTGCAAGTGAGCATTATAATTCAGTGTCTGTTTCCCCTGCTCTAAAAGCAGGGACTGCTTAACACTGTCTGTAGCATAACTACAGCATAAAAGAGAACTTTATACTTTGTTGCATCCATTCCTCTGAATTCTCTCTCTACATAAATTTTGATCAATTTTTATTTTCTGTGCAGTTAAAAGCCAAAATGTACATGTGATAATCTATAACACATTATACTCAAGTTTATTTTTAGCCTTAATCTTTCCTCAGAAAATTACCTTAGAATCAATTTTGTAGCAATTTTCAGAATTACACATTTTGATGCATTTGCCATCAATTCCTTGGAAGACGTACAGAATATCTCTGACAAGGGTTGCTTATGAAGATGCTGAAAAATAAAACAATGCCACCACAAAAATATGAAGTTCCTTAAACATTTAAGTCATGTTCTATTCCCTCCCCCATGATGCAATCTCATGTGGTTCCCTTCCAGCACTTTGTGATTGATTCTGTCTTTATTTGTGAATCTAGACAGCAGCAGCATGTTATTGAACACAAGTGCATTAACATAAGAATACAAGAATTAGGAGCAGGAGTAGGCCATTCGGCCCCTCGAGCCTGTCCCACCATTCGATAAGATCATGGCTGATCTTCAGACCTAACTCTAATTACCTGCCCTATCCCCAAATCCCCTAATCCCTCTATTTTTAAAAAATCTATCAGTCTCAGCCTTGAAGATGTTCAAGGACTGAGCATCTACAGCCTTCTGGGTGAAGAAATGATTCCTCAACTTTGTTCTAAGAGGCTGACCCTTAATTTTAAGACTGTGACCCCTGGTTATATATTCTCCTACCAGGGGAAACAGACCCTCCGTGTCTACTTTATCCAGCACTTTAAGAATCTTATATGTTTCAATAAGATCTCCCCTAACTCTTCTGTACTCTAGAGAATATAGCCCTAGTTTATTCAGCCTATCCTCATAGGTCAGTCCCCTCATCCCAGGAACTAACCTAGTGAATTTACACTGTACCCCCTCTATAATAATAATAATCCTTGCATTTGATATAGCGCTTTTCACGTCTTCTAGACGCCCCAAAGCACTTCACAGAATATACTGTAAAGTGACTGTATATTTGTGGGCGAACGCGGCAGCCAATTGCGCACAGCAATGTCCCACAAACAGTCATGGATTGAAAATGACCAATTTATTATTGTTTTTTTTTGGAGGGATTATTATTAGACGTGTGGAGTAAGGAAACTTGCCCAAGGTTTCGCCCTGCCTCTAGGGCAAGTATGTCCTTTTTTAAATAAGGAGACCAAAACTGCACACAATATTCTAGGCGCGGTCTCACCAAGGCCCTGTACAGTTGCAGCAAGACTTCCCTACTCTTGTACTATAAACCTTTTGCAATGAACACTAACATGCCGTTCGCCTTCTTAGTTGCTTGCTGCACCTTCAAACTAACTTTTTGAGACTGGTGTGCAAGAACACCCAAATCCCTCTGAACACTAACACTATCTAATTTCTCCCACTGTAGAAAATAATCTGTTTTTCTATTTTTTTCTACCTAGGTGAATAACTTCACACTTCCCCACATTAAATTCCATCTGCCACCTACTTGCCCACTCCCCTATCTATATCCTGTTGCAATTTTTTTGCATCATCCTCAGAGCTTACTCTCCCACCATCTGCGAATTTAGATACGTTACATTCAATGTCCTCGTCTAGATCATAGTTTCAAAGTCTAGATCATTAACAGTCAAGATGGATCCTGCCCTCACATATTTCATTCTCCTAAAGTTGTAGCTTCTCAAGATTTTGCTTCATGACTAAGTGCAATATTTTTCCATAATAATTAATTGCATTTCAGGAAGCTTTCAACAACATAGAAACTTGCACTTATATAGTGCATTTTACATAGGATGAATATCTGGAAATACTTCTTTTAAAATATTTTGAAGGCAGGAAGAGAAGCTTCAAGACAAAAGCATTTTTGGAAAGTTCCAGAGAGCAGGAGCATAATGGCTGATAGCTTAGCAACTGATGGTAGCATGGATGGAGTGAGGAAAGAACATCAGACAGAATCCAAAGAAAGGAGGGATAGGATATCGTACAGCTAATACATCATTGGGAACATAACTCTGGTGCTGAGCCTTTTCCTGATGGAGTCAGGTCTTATCTCTGCAGAGACAGAGTGAGGTCAGCCTCCAAAAAGGGTTCTGCCAAATTTGGCACCAAGAAATGCAGCCATTTTCTTGATGAGTTGCCTTCAGATGCAATCTTCAATCATCCTTGCATTTGATAACTTATAATATAAAAGCAACCGAACAAGACAAGCTTCACAACTGGAGAATCAACATTAAAATCCTGATCAAGTTTAGATTATATTTATCACTGTGACAACAGAACCCATTATTGGGATTGCCCATAAAATGTAAAAGTAAAGTAAATGTGTGGTTATGGGCCAATCTGGCATGTTGAATTCTGTAACTTTTAAAATAAGTCATCGCCATTTAATTGGTTAACTCCTAGGAGACCTTTGTCAACATCTCTTAAAATCGTTGAGCAGGAAACTGATCCACTGCTTGATAATAGAACGAAGGTAGAATCAACACAGCTTACTAACTGCAAATACATGGCTTTTAATTTGATTAGAAGGCATACATGGTCAGTAGAGTGGCAAATTTGGTGCATCAAATGCAATGTGGCGCAAGGCTGCAGGGCAAGAGGTTGTGGACACAATTCTTGCCTCTCAACTGCATCCCAAAAGAGGGACCTGCCCTCAAGGAGATAATGGAAAAGTCACAATAGCCAATCACACCTTGAACAGGTGAGTTACAGAGGGCAGAACAGATCAATAGGTGCCCAAATTTTGTAGGTTCTTCAAAAATGATTTCATTGTAAAATTATAAGAGTGATGCACTGCTCTTTATTGCTCTTCAACTATCATGAGTGGCATTGCAAATAATGCTTCTTTAAAATCAGTCTATTTAACAATTTTACATCATCTCATCACAAAATCACACACTACATTAGGCATAAACTTTGAATGGGGACCACATTTAGTTTTGTTCAATATCACATTAAGTACTAGATCACCACTAAGAGTCATTTAAATGCTTCATTAGAAAGTGGGGCATTCATATAATGAGTCTAATGTTACAGATTCAAAGGTTTTGAAGGATCTCAGCTCCAAGCACAAGAATCCAAATTTATTCATTCTCTTTCATCCAGTAATGTTGGACGCTGAAGATATACAATAAAAATTACAACTTTATAGCGCCTTTCACGTCGGGAGGACCTCCCAGGGTGCTGGGATTTACAACAACATTGTCACCCCCTAAAGGAACAGAGAATGCAGCCACAGTGGCTACATACCAAACGCACATAATTTCAGCAAACTCTGAAGCTAGAAATTTTCTCTCTCCAAATTAGGAATTCTTCCTGTCCTAAAGATGTTGACCCATGCTGGCATATGGTTCTACAGACGTCCTCCACAATCCCACTCAACTGGCCATTCTTCATGGGGCTGCTAACACAGTGAGCTCCAAAGAGCGAGCATTCACAGTTCAAACATGGTCAATGCCAAGAGCCGTACAGTACCGAAGAAATATGGGGATCAACTATAGTCCAACCTCTGCCTTAGATCAATCCAGTTTACCCAGTATATATTGGGATTCAAAACCACAAGTATCTAATCTCTATGCGCTGGTGGTGCCTTTACCAATTAGGCTAGCAGGGATCCCCAAAAAGGACAACTGTTTCAAAACAAAATTCTGACCATCATAAATAGTGCATACAAATCAACTAGCAAATGAATAAAATTCTTCAATACTTACAGCTGAGTTCTCCTTCACGCCTCAACCGCGATGAACTACGTGTTATGGAATTTGGAAGGCCCTTTGAGGTATTCGATGATGATGGCTGAGCAGTAGACATTGTCCAAGCAAACCGCGATCCTAGTTGATGTCTAAGTGCATCTCCCACTCCTGCAATATGATAGGTTTGCCTAAGCAAAAAATACTTTATTAGAAGTTACTGTTTTCCACTCATTACTGAGCTGTTTTTAATCTAGAGCCAAAGCTTACACTAAATGTATTTTAGGACACATACACTACAAGCTTAGCTAAGTTGGTATCACTCTTGCCTATGGTCAAAAAACTGTAGGTTCAACCCCTACCTTGGGATACAAGCATCTGGTCAGAAATAAAATCATAAAGAATGGTCAATATAAGTTCAAGAAGGGGAGGTGTTACCAATCTAATTGGTTTTCTTTGATGGTGTGACAAAAAACTCTGGCACAAATCTAAGAATTATATTTTAGTTTAAAAACAATCAATTTGTGCTCTAGGTTGCCTCAGTCACATGTTCACAACAAAAGTTTGGTACAGCCTGAAATTACAAATTCTCTATCTGGACATTAGTTCATTAACCAAAGAAGACAAAATTAAATCTAAAACACACAATAATTACTGAAGTCTCTAATTATAAAAAGCATGCAATTTTAACGCTCTCTGCAGTTGCAAGGGGAATGATACTATCACAAATAGGATAATTACAACCTTCAATGAAGGAATGCAAAAACATATCACCAAAACCAGCTGCTTTCCCACAAGACAAGCTCAGCCTCTGAGCAGTTACTCATTGATAGTTTTTTCAGTTTGTCTGATCGTCTCATCAATATAAATTATATTTCTATAGTGCCTTTCATGTTGGGAGGACATTCTAAAGCGCCTTTAGAGTACTGGATAAGCACCCAAGCTGAGGGGGTGGGTAGGGTAAAGATTACCGAAAGTGCGGTCAAATAGGTACGTTTTGAAACATGCTTTGAAAAAGAGGATGGAGAGAGCAAATTGGAGGGACCGCGGGAGGTTGTTCTAGATGTGTGTGCAGCTAAGACCCACAACCTTCTGACCCAGAGGCAATCCGATCAGCAAAAAAAAGCGTAAAAATCAATTTGAATGCAAACTCTTGCTTGAGAATGTCCAAAAACAGAATGATAAACATACAATGTTGATGAAAACCAAGAGCAACCCCTCATGTAAAACATATTCCCTCTAAAGTGCTTCTGTTGTCAAAGCCACCTGTTTTCCAGTGTCAATATCACAATGAATTTTATGTCCAAGAGCACTTCTATTAATGCAATAGTTTTTCTCCTTTTTATTACAAGTCCATACTTTTATTTAAAACATTTCAAAAAATTGATCAATGGGTGTTATAAAGGACAAAAGTTAAATAACAAGAATCTCACCAGTTTAGAAAATAATAATCTTGCATTTGATATAGTGTCTATCTACGTCTTCAAAACATCTCAAACCACTTCACAGGATCCACTATAGAGTGTAAGGATTATATATTGTAGACTCACGGCCAACCATGAAGTGAATGCCTAATTTTATCTGGGGGATTGTTGACCAGAACAAACTCCCTTCTCTTATCAAATAGTGCCATGGAATCTTTAACAATCTGAACTGGCAAGATAGGGCCTCGACATATTATGTCATTCAAAGGCACTTGACAATACAAAGTCATCAGGTTTGTGCCAAAGTCACTTCCTGTTGGCTGCATATGCAAAAAGCAGGATGCGACATCAGTGGCGACCTAATGACCCAGATGTAAGCCAGTGAAGCGTGAAAGCCAGCCAGTGCACAGGAAGCAAGTGCACAAGGCTCTGCACATATGCAGTGAAAACAGCTATCACATTTCACTACAGCACGGGTCAGAATCTTATGGATCCCAATTACTGCGTTATAATAAGTTCCAGTTTAATATTAATCTTACTTCATGGCATGTTTGTTCTGCATTTAAAATAAAGATTTCATTAACTAATTTCCAGAAAATTATTTTTAGGTTATTCGTAGTTTCTTTTAAGAAACTTTGGTAAACAGAATTTCTCCCCTCTTTGAAATAAGGTGTTCAAAAGATAATTTTTTGTGGTTATAATGTCTTAATTTGTGGTATTTGCTGTTGGGATTTCCTAATAAATAATTTGAGCCATACAAATAGGTACTCCTTCTTGGACCTACAACATGCCAAATTGTGGGGGGAACATAGGAACATGAGTAGGCCATTCAACCCCTCAAGCCTCTGCCACCTCTCTATTAGATCGTGGTTGATCTATATCTCAACTCCAAATACCCACTTTTGCCCCATATTTCTTGATACCCTTACCTAACAAAAATCTATCCACCTCATTCACTTCCATGAATAGATTACGTTGGAGTAGAGCTCTGGTGGTGGGCCAGACAAATTTCTGTTTTCGTTGCTGCTTCTGACAGAGAAGTGGACCTAAACTATTGACTCCATTCTCTTCATCCCTGGATTACCAAATTACTCCTGTACATTTCAGTTTCTTTAATCTATTCATTCTGCTCACAAAACAGCAAATTTACTTACCCAGGTAATAAAGACTGAGGAGTGGGTGTTGGTCCATTTAAGCCATATACACCAAGGCTACTGACTCCACTGCTTCCCATGCTGCCAGAACTCTGGGTTGAGGAAGTTCTATCAGGGTAACTCAACGGGAGAGTCTGGGGCCTTGAATAGTAGTAGGGGGTAGAATGGGCATCTCTCGGTAAAGCTTGAGCAAATAATGCTGCATAGTTGGCAACCTGGAAAAACACAATACATCAGACACAAATTAATCAAGAGATGATTTAGAGAGATAAGAAACTCAAAACATACAATGAAAAATGCAAAACATTACAACAAAAGGGTTTTCATGCAATTCATTATTTATAAGAAATCCATTGTTATGATTAGTCACTTAATCCTAAATATATGAAGCAAAATACTGAAGTCTCAGTCACCCTTTGTTAATAACTTTCAAATTCTAATTTTGCATTCAACTCCTCTGATGTAATCTAAAGCTTCTCTGCAGGGTCACAACAATGTGGGACTGTGCGTAGCCCAGCATTTTCTTCAGGTCTTTGCATGAGAGAGACTGCATGCAAGGAGCAGTTTCCAGGCTGCCCTTAACCAGCTGTTTTAAAGCACAAAATACAACAAAGGGGAGCTGAAAGACACTGTAAAATGCTGTGCAGCTGGAACTTCAATGTTATGAATTAAAGTCAATAAATCCATAAAAATATGGTTAGAAATTATTGTGATAACTAAAGGCAGTTGAAGGTCTTCTGAGATCTCAAGGAGTGAATATCAATAAATGCCAGTACCCTCAGATCCAATCAGCACATTGAACCAGTGCTCAAAGGATTAAACTCAAAGGCAGTAAATGTTTATAAATGAAATTGTTTTCAAATACTGATGTTGGACAGAGACAATGAAGAGAGTCACCTACAGCAAGGAATGTACCAAATTTGCATATTTCAACACTGGGGTAAAGATAATTTTATCTAAACGAAACAGAATTCCCAAACAATTGTCCACTGAACTAGTTATTTGCTTCTCACCACTGTAACTAACTAATGCACATCACACAGATGACGTTTAAGGTCTCCGAGACGCTACCCTGCATGAAGGGCACTATATAAAGGCAAGCTGTTGTTGTTGACTCCATTTACCAATTACAGGATTAGATTCAGAGAAATTTAGAAACACACACAAATATAAAATAACTAAATTGGTATCACAGAGAACCTCACCAAATACTGTATTCTCACAGCAGGTGACTAAAGGGACACATTTAATAATAATAATCCTTGCATTTGATATAGCGCTTTTCACGTCGGGAGGACGTCCCAAAGCGCTTCACAAAACCCCACTGTAAAGTGAATTGACTGTATATTTGTGGGCGAACGCAGCATCCAATTGCGCACAGCAATGTCCCACAAACAGTCGTAGATTGAAAATGACCAATTTAATTATTGTTTTTTTGGAGGGATTATTATTAGGCTCTGTGTGGAGTAAGGAAACTTGCCCAAGGTTTCACCCTCTGCCTGGAATTGAACTCAGGTCTCTCGCTTGCAAAGCGAGTGCTCTAACCACTGAGCTACAGGACTCCACTGTAGCATTTATCACTGTAACATTTATCTTGTTCTTCATATTTTGCAACAAAACACATGCAATGATGAGGTGGATCATAGAGCATCCACAGAAACAAGTAACTGATACCAATCATGCAGGGTACGGAATCTTGCAAAAGATTAATAGTTGGTTCATCTGCACAATGTATTCACATGCAGAGATGAGGACTAATTTCCTACTGCCTCAGTCCCCAAATGACTTAGTTATTATCTGGAAATAGGATTTCATTAATGACAAGCTTGGGCAAAATTTCTCTTGGTGTGACAGATGATGTCCTTTTTTCAAAAAAATTGTAGTTCAGAAATGGCCTAAAACAGGATATATGTTCCAGTAATTGTCAGTTAAAAAAGAATATCAGGATTGTTAATATTTCGATTGTTATTTCCAATAACACATGATTGCAAAATAACACATTTGTTCATCAAATTCAAAAAGTCAAATATCATGTAAAATCTTGCTATTTTGTAAGCAGACCACCCAGTGTTGAATTTTTCTTATAACTGTTGAATATGCTGCACTTATGAGGAAGCCATATTCAAATCACTTGTGCCTGTCAACAGCTTGCCCTCAAGCATCCTTTGTTAAAAATATGAACAACAAATTACATTTGTACAGCGCCTTTTAAGTCAGGAGGATATCCCAAGCCGTTGGACAGTCAGGGATTTGGACCCAAGCAGGGGTTGGGATCAAGAGAGGTGAAGGCCAGGGAGAGGAGTAGTAGACGGTGGCTGAGGCTGGTCGAAGAGGAGGGTCTTGAGAAGTGCCTTGAAGGAGGCAAGGGAGGGAACAATACGAAGGGAGTGTGGGATGGAGTCTCAAAGGGTGGGAGCAGGGGGTTGAAGGCCCGAATGTCGATGGCAGAGCGACCCCCGGGACGTGGAGGAGGCTGAGCAGAGGGATCGGACGGGTTGATATGGCATTAGCAGGTATATCAAATATATTTGCAATTACAATTGGCATTTTGATGTTCTGCTTAACCTGATATTCACTTGTTCCCTTACAAGCAAGCGTTTTATATTGATCAGCAATTCTTTCAGTACCTTGCTCTGAGGTTTCCGTGGATCTCACTCAGGCTTAGCAAGAGGTAGAGTATAGCCCATCGATTTTTTAGTACACCCTGTATGTGTTAAACAAATACAAATGCATTAATTGGGAGTGTTCTCCTTAGAGCAGAGATGGTTAAACAATAACAACAACTTGCACTTATATAGCACCCTCCATCCAGGGTAGTCTCAGAGCGCTTAACAGTGGCAGAGCCTGACACCGAGCCGGGGGGGTGGGGGGGGGGGTGGTGGCTGTAAGCATGGTTTTCAGGCAGGACTTGAAAAAGAGGAGAGGGGGCAAGGCGGAGGGATTGAGGGAAAGTGTTTCAGAGTTTCGGGGTGTAGTGGGTCGGAGGGTGTGAGAGACGAGTAGGAGGCCTATGCCTGTTGAGCAGAGGGGCTGGCTTGTGGATTTGGGAGTGAGGAGTTCGGAGAAGTCGGGAGATGCCAGAGAGCTATAGGGAGATTTAATAGAGTTGCTCAAAATTATGAGAGGTTTTGATAAGAGTAGATAGGGAGAAATTGTTTGCACTGGTCGGTGGTCAGTGATCAAGGTACACAGATTTAAGATAATTCGCAAAAGGGGGGAAATAAACAGAGAGTTGTTACGGTCTGGAATGCACTGCCTGAAAGGGTGGTGGACAGATAACAACTTTTAAAAGGGAATTGGATAGGAACTTGAAAAGGTAAAATTTGCAAGGGTATGGGGAAAGAGTAGGGAAGTGGGATTGATTGGGTAGCTCTTCCAAAGAGCCAACACAGGCTGGTTGACTGACTGGCCTCCTTCTGTGCTGTAAGATTCTATGATTCTATGATTAAGAAAAATGCTACTAGTTGCACAGAGAAATGATACAGTACAGAACAGAAAATAGATAAACATTTTCACAGTTTGCAGAGCCGTAATAATTTTACAAACATGTTAAACAGTTTAACACTGTGTCAGTAATCAGGAACATAATCTAAATAAAGCAAAAGACAGTGGATAATATCAGCACCATACAGAAATAGAAGGAGCAGCTGCTGAGAGCACTAGCAACAGGGCTGAGAAACAAAGATAACTGGACACAAAATCACTTGAGATTACAGTCAAGGTCTTAAAGGGAAGGGGTGATCAGGGCCCAGGAAACGCCATGACTGAAGCTGTACTTCATTTTGGAACAAATTACAGGATTTCTAGTGTTCGATTCAACCATCCTCCAATTAAGTTAATGCAATCGAACAGTTCTAAAATTACCATTCGAGCACATGCTAAATACAAAAATAAATAAAAATTCACGTCTGCCAACATGTAGCGTAATAAACGCCTGCTACTGAGCAAAAGGTTTAAGGTGGCCACTAAAATATACAAAGGAACAGGTGGTTCAGTTGCAAATTTTCTTCAGTGAACTGGGTTCAGCCTGACCCAAATGACAAGCCGACAAATGAAGGAATAAAATAAGGAATCGACTGGACTTGCTGAGTTTACATTCCTTACAGTTGGGAAAGACGTGCCATATCCAGTTTCTTGCTTATTTTTCTGACAGTTAGGTCACCTCCACACCTTCAGCACCCTCCAGTATCTCACCTAAATTGCAGGTGTAAAAGAACTTTGCATGATGACTCATCTTACTTTTTAAGAATTACTTTTTCTCGAGGAAACAAATACTTGAATGAAAAGACAGTTTTTCAATTTAATTTTCATTTGCCTGCCCAATCAGCGGTGCCAATTGAGGCATTTCTTATAGATCCAGAACTGTGTAAATCAGGATAAAATATTGATTCATGACAATTCTCAAAACTCAGCAATATAGATGTGAGTCAATGCAATTATAAAGTCATTATAATATGCTGGTAATAGCCTTCTGGGCTTGGCAAGTCAAAACAAATTACTTTCAAAGTGGCTATAAAGTTTGTAATAGATAACAACTTGCATCTATATAGCCTCTTTCAACAAGAATAACGTCTCGGAGGAACTAACAGTGTTGTGGTTTAAGAGGGGAGGTGACCGAAGGCAGATTCGCAGAGGAAAGTCTTCAGGTGCGATTTAAAGACGGGGGCAAGACAGAGGGATTGAGGCTAGGAGTTCCAGAGATGTAGGATGTAGTGACTGAAATCATGGCCAACAATGGTGGAGCGGAGGGGAAGAAGGTCATGCAAAAGCCCAGATAATAGAATATGCCTAAGATATAAACACTGATTTGTAGATTTAAGTAAGGATCAGTTATCACAAATAAAGCCCAAACTAATTTTTAGTCTTGATGTGCCCTGTGCACCAAGATCTTAAAGTGAATAATGCAGCTGATTCAGGCCAATGTTGATTTCCGTTGTTTCCTTTCCATATCTAAACATAGATTTTTGAAAATTAGTCAATTTAATCGCATCAGGAGCATGTTAAGCTCAAGACCTCAACTGTGTTACTAAGGAGAGACATCAAGTAGCAGCTGTACACTTTCCTCTAAGCAACGGAGGGTGTTTGTTAACTATTTTGTTTATTTTGGAAACAATTTTGCTTTTCTCTTAGAGTGGATCACCAACTAATTCTTACCTGTGACTGCAGCTTACGGTGAAGTTCCGAAAACAAAGCTGCATCAGTCTCCCTCCTCTGTCTTACCACTGCAAAACACAGCTTGTTAGCACAGTGACATTTTCAAACTCAAAGACCAAACCAAACGCACAAGTAAGTAGATAAAGCAATACAACTAAACTTAAAGACGGCTCTGACAGAGTTAGAGGGAACTCAATGTTAAATGCTTAATATTACAAACTTACGAGATTTTTAAAGTAATGAACACATCAGGACACTGTGATTTGCTTCATTACATTTTAGACTTTGTGCTCAGACTTCACACTGTTCTGAACTTATAATACTTGACATTCTGATTAATTTATTTCAGGTTAAGCATTGCAAGAAAGTACTTCAGGACTGCTTTCTGATTTTCTACCTCACCTGACCATCTCTCTTTTAGATCTGCTCGTGGTTATTTTATATTTTAGCACCCTTGTTTTGCACTCACCAACAAGTGAAAACTATGTCTATTTATAGTTTGCACCTTTATCTTCAGTTTTATCTATTTCACTTTTTTCAAAAGTCCAAAAAATTTAATAATCTTCTACTGCTAAAAGGCAAGTTGAAGTTGGTAGTCTGTTCTCAAGTCCCACGACTCATTGCACTACATAAGTAATTTGATCATTAAACAGGCGGAAAATAATGAAACGTTGATGGAAATCATTCAGAAACACAACTATTTTCACAGCATTAAAGACAAAAAAACAGGATCTCCAGGTGCTGTCCACTCAAATAACTGTTATTATCCTGTTGCCTAGGTATCTGTTTTTCTTTCCTATCCCTGTCCACTTACCTCACAGTAAGGAATCAGTTCATCTTGCCATTCAACTCAGCAAACAACATTTGCTGCTGCATTTGCCTGTATAACAATTCTAATAATTCTCATTTTGCAAAGCACATTAGAGATGTTCTTTCATTTGAAAGGCACTAAATAAGATTAGTTTTATCCATTTTTTGTTCAATCGTATCCATATTCATCGCACTAATTGGCAGTCATGTCCAGAAGTAAAAACAGAATGGGGGAAAGGGGTTAATGATATATGGACATTTGTTCAAAAACAAATTCCAGCACAAATTCAGAATGAGGTCAGCAAAATAACAAGTCCATTTTGTACTGTGGCAAAAGAAACATAAATAAATAATCCACAGATTTTTAAAAGCAAAGTTTGGTATTCATTGCCAACCATTTAGTTGTACCCATTGGGTTTTTTTCTATTAATGGAAAGAAGGATTCTTCCCATTTGGCTCACGTTAACTCTACAAGCTAAAGCCCAAATGAGTAGGGTGGTCCTAGCAGCAGGAAGCTTGCCAGATAATACTCTCAATTGCCAGCTATGGAACTTTAGCTGGCTAAACTCAAACATTACTCCAATGCAGTCTTAGGATCCCCTAGAGTTGAATGAAAAATAACACCAATGGCAAGCAACTAATAATAGTAATAATAATCCTTGCATTTGATATAGTGCTTTTCACATCATTAGATGTCTCAAAGCGCTTCACAGAATATACTGTAAAGTGAATTGACTATATATTTGTGGGCGAAACGCGGCAGTCAATTGTGCAAAGCAATGTCCTACAAACAATCGTGGATTCAGTGACCAAATTAAATATTTTTTTGAAGGCTTATTATCTGCCACTCGACTAACAACCAGGTTCCTACTTACTACTAGGTAAGCAGAGGCATGTGGAGTAAGGTAACTCACCCAACATTTCACCCCTGCCGGGAATCAAACCCAGGTCTCTCACTTGCGAAGCTAGTGTTCTAACCGCTGAGCTACAGGACTCCACATTTGAGCACAGTTCCAACGTACACTATAGAAAAAAGCCTGAGCAGTGAAAGAGATGGATGGAAAAATAATTTGTACAGGACGATGGTATACAGAATAAGTTTGGCTCTCATTGCCTTAACTCAGAGAAACACACAAGTTATCAATACAATACATTGTAGGATTGAAAAGAGCAACTGCAATGCTGAAGGTGAAACAAAAAAATAGAAACTTCTAGCAATGAGGAGCAAAGCTTCTGAAAGAGGACTGACAATGTCTTAGCAGAAAGGTCAAACCTATTTTTTTCAGATGGGGAGCAAGTGCCTGTAAATTTCCAGCATTCTGCGTGATTAGATTTGTGGTTTGCCTTCCAGCTCTGAATTGCTTCTTCTCACGAATGTTCAGCTGTAATGATTCATCCCTATTCACACTAGTCAGCGGTGCTGCAAGTCCTAGTTGATGACTGATCAGGCTACCTGTCTCACTAAAGCTACATGGAGGGATAGACATGCCTCCAGTGGTTAAGACTCTTCCCTCCCAGGTACTAATATTCCTGCTAACTCTCACCTCAACAGGGAGGGCAGGCCCAACTGGAATAGAAGCAGGAAATTCACCAGCACTTCCCACTGTATAGCTATGCATAATTGGCAGGTTAGATGTCAAAGTATCCATAGACGTAGACTTTGGGATCCCTAATGCCTCCACTGTGGCGTGTAGGAGCCTGTTTCTCTTCTCCCCCCACCCCAAGGATATATGTGCTTTAAATCATAAACTCTGCATTAAGGGTTTCTCTGCAACCAGACATGATGGAGGTTTCAATACATATAATAACACCCAGCTGACAAAAACAGCAGAGCTCTTATCTAGCAGTTTGCATATCAGTTAATCTAAAACTAGAAGTACAATGTTATTTCGGAACTAAGCACTGTGTGAAAGCTATGATGGAGCATATTTTATTACAACAATATTGATAATATTGAACTATTGATCTAGGGCATACTACTATTAGAAAAAGCTAATTAAAGTATCTACATTCTTTCCAAAAATAATAGTTGATCCCTTGATTCCAAGAGTGAATAATGGTGATTTAACAAAATAATAATAACCCTTGCATTTGATAGACCACATTGTCATGTTGTCAAGACATCTCACCAGTGTTTCACAGATTTACGGATTTACTGTAGAGGCGAACCTGGCAGCCAATTTGTACACAGCTATGGTACACAAACAGCCATGAAATTAAATGCCAATTTTTTTTCTCCCTGTAGCATCGTTGGCCAGGACACTGGGAGAAACTACCTTCATTTTTCAAAGTGTACCCTGGGATCTTTAAAGTCTTCCTGAACAGACAGACAAGATCTCAGTTTAACTTCTCATCTAAAGCCTCAACACTGCAGCGCACCCTTAGCAGCTTACCTGGAGTACCAGTTTACACTATGACCCAAACCCCACCACAATGTGAGGCTCGAACCCACAACCATGTGATTCAGAGATGACAGTGCTACGAACCAGGCTAATCTGCGGAATGACTATTATTTTATAATTCACCTATTGCAGAGATCTTCAAGACTTTAATGGAGTTTATCTAATAAACCTACTTACTTTCTTTCTTGACCTTTTCAGCCACGAGGAATTCATCCCTTTCCACAGTTGGAGCAAAGTTGCTTCCAATAACTCTTACAGCATACTGGAACTGCTGTGCCACATCCGCTGCAAAATACAATTCCAACTGCATTAACATGTGGCTGATTATCAAACAGCCAGGTCAACATCTTACAAAACCACAGCTCTTATGACAAATGCAACAACAAAACCACAAATTTTCCATAAAAACACTGATGAGACTATATTGTAATATATTTTACAATATTGATTATTTATTTCAAATTACTTTGGTTTGCACCAAATGCTTTTCAAAGCATAATGATTCCAATAATTTTACTATTTATGAAACATAAGTTGGAGTGAATTCCAATATTACTGTCATAAAAGTACTTCTGAGACACTACCCCATATGAAGGGCGCTATATAAAGCAAGTTGTTGTTATATGCTGCGTGTACCATATACAGAAATTGAGCCCACTTAGTGCACAATTTCCCATTTAAATAAAGCCAAATTAGGATGGACAGCAGTTTTCCTTCTGGACCCAGAAACTCAGTGTTCACATGAGGACAACTGCCAAGGACTGTTTGCTGATCATGGCTGTGCCATGTAGGGGAAGGACAACCCTTTCCAAGTGCAACTGTAACCAAACAGCTGCTTTGACAGTAATAATAATCCTTGCATTTGATATAGCGCTTTATCACAACGTTGAGACTTCTGTAAAATGGATTGACTGTGTATTTTGTGGGTGAAACGCATCACTTGAATCGTTCCTGAGCTGCACAATCCATTTGAATAACAGCTGTATTGCTCACTTAGCCACTGGCAGATTATAAATGTTTTTAAACTGATGCATTATTTTTTGTCACAATACCATTTATATCAGGAGGGTAACGAGTACAAATGATGAGAGCTGCTGTATTTAAACTGAGCATGAATATTTATTACCCAGTTTAAGGAGTGCCATTAACTTTCTGAGGCCAAATAGGCTGCATATTACGCAGAGCAATGATTCCTTTGGAAATATCTAAACGCACAGGAAAAGGTCCAGGCAGGAAATATATAAAGATTGCGCTTCTATGTAGGTGCAACTAAGACCACAAAGATCTTGAGACGGAGAAAGAAATGGCCTTTAATCACCTTTTCATTCAGAACGTAAAGCTTCTACTTCATTAATCAGATTACTGGAGATCATGGTGACTTCTGGGGTAGCTGACCTAGATCTTCCCCCAACAGGTTCAGGCTCCATTTGGAGGAAGCCACCGATCAGAATAGGGATTAAAATGGGCATTTAAAGGGATTGAGAAGAAGTAGTAATTGAACTGCCAGGATAAGAAAGGCTCATTTAGATCATTTGGGAACCTTGCCGTTTCCTTTGGACCACCTTGAACAAATGCTGCTTGAATATTACCTGCAATGTTATTGCTACCTTCTAACTGGCTGAAAAAATACCAAATTGGTGGGAGGAAATCCCCTGCTTCAAATTCTTGATTCAAACAGCTGTTCACAAGTAGTTTGAGTCACAAGCAAATAATTTCTTAATCCAGGTCTCTGTGGTGCATCAAACTAAAATAGCACAGAGAAACATTCTAATCCTTCAAGTACGAAAATATCCCCATGTGTCAATCCCTCCAAAGACACAACTCTCAAGTGCCTCTCTGGAAGTCACGTTAGATATGTAGATACATACATATATGCTGGAAAAGATAGGATTGTTTTTAAACCCTTTCTGTGAACAGCCTGTGATTTTAGAAGGAAGGTTCTCAGGAGATCCCAATAAAAATAAAGGTAATGTTGCTTATCACATCACGCACTTCCTAACTCTGCGACCTGGTCTTGAGTCAAATCCACATTCCATGAAAGCCTTTTAGTACTGCCAGGTAGAAGAATCCTCCATGAAATAGATATGGGCAATCTCAACTCAGTAGAATCCAAGACAGGAGTTTCTTTAATTCTGGACAGATTGACACAAAAGTATGTACCTAAGAGAGGCTATGACAACGGTTAGTGTAAGAACTAGAAAGTTCACACTATAATGTATATTGGGATAGACTAGAGTGAGCCATACCAGTCAGGGCTGACCATAAGGTGCTCAAAACTAATTCTTGAAGGAAAAGTGCTGTATTGCCTGAGTACTAACTCTCACAGTGTTAAGAGCATAAAAACACCAGCAAATGAAACTGAAAAAAAGATTGCTTTGGACCACACCTTTTTGCAACAACAAATTATCATATACTGCATGACATTTCCTACAACATAGATTAGTTTAGTATAATTCTTTAATTTTGGATACTTTATTTTCTAGTCAGCTCAAAACATTTCATTATAACTGAAAATATTTCCAAATATGTAATTGCCCTTTACTGTTTCACTACTTACCATGTTTCCAATGTCACAAATAAAATAGCTGTGCTAATCACCAGTCTTGTATTTTTTGATGACATTTCATATATTATATGAAATATAATTTTAGAACCACTCAAATATGCATTTTTACTAAAACTGTAAAAATAAAACTTATTTCATGATCCTTTTTCCATTTAGGAGCTAATGGTTTATCATAAGATTGATCCAGTAAATCCTGGTGTAACAGCTTCACTCCAATTACTGTCAACTTCAATATTTTAAAAAAGCTTACATTTGCCAGAGAAATTGCTTAATCGTTAATAGAAACAGTCCATTATACTCGTACATGGTGCCAGTGGTACAATCTGGTAAACGGATTTTCCAAACTATTTCCACACTCAATACAGTCGTGACAAATCTTTCTGCACATATTCAAAAAAAATGCAAAATTATTAAAACTGCAGGTGATACATAACTTTTTAAAGACAGAATGTTACTATCTGCAATATAATCTAAAGAAACTCAAATGAAGTCAAATTACAAGAGCAAAGATCAAATGATTAATAGCATCTGATCCCCAAAATTATACCTCGTGATTAATTTGCAGTCTCATTCTTTTTGGTTAAGATATTTAGTAAAATAAATGCACAAAGCGTGAAGACTCATTTAACACATTATGACCACCTAAACACAAACACATAAGTAAACAAATAATAAATAATCCTTGCATTAGATATAATGCCTTATCACATCATCAAAACATCTCAAAGCGTTTCACTATAAAGTGTAGTGGTTATGTATTTGTAGCAGTATGCAGCAGCTAATTTACCCACATCATTGTCCCACATATATCCACAGAATGAATTACTAATTTTATCTGGGAGATTTCTTGTCAAGGAAACTGGGAGAAACTCCCTTCTCCTTTTAAAAAGTATTATTGAATCTAGAACAGGAAGATGAGTTTGGTTTAACATCTCATCTAAAGGATGGCACCGAGGACAATACAATGCCTCCTGGCAATCCATAGTTGTGCCAGCCTAGACGACAAGCACAAAGACCTGACATAGGGCTTGAACCCATAACTTTCTTTGATTCAGGAGGCGAGCACTACCAAATGAGCCAAGCTAACACCTTATGAAGTCTATTACCTAAATATTCCACATCCATTACGCATGCTACTCATATGGGAATATAGATCACTGAAAATATTATTCTGCGTGTCTTCATTTGCATAATTTATTCCAGCACATGATTTGAAATTAGCATGCCTGATCAATGCAAATGTATTTATAATCATAAAACTGGGAGGTCAAGAGCAAACTGACCCAGGATGCGTGCTCCTGTTACTAGGAGCTGCAGGCACTAAATTCATATTATATAAACAAGTTACCTTAGAATCAGGAAGCTAAAATATAGATGTTCATGGCTAATTCTAAAAGCACCCAAGAGTGTTGATTGGCTCATTTCATTAAGCATGTGCCTTTCAAACTGGGGATCCACTTTGGATAAAGTTAAGCCGTACCAAAACTCAAAAGCACAAGTACTCAGTACCATGGAGGGAAATAAACATAGTTTCTTCTTCCTTCACTCTACTCTCTCTGACTAATAATAATCCTTACATGTGGTATAGTGCCCGATATACTGTAAAGTGCAGTGACTGTGTTTTGTGGGTGAATGTAGCTTGAGTAGTGTGAAACATAGAAGCAATAAGAAGTGTGGGGCATGGGGGGAGAGGAAAGAAGGAAAAGTAAAAATTAAAAGGCAGAGTCATGCCTGCACAGAAAATGGTGTCATCCAAGAGCTAAATTGATCATCGATTGGTATCTTGATTAGTTCCCATAGACTTCCCTTCAACACTAGAGCTATGTATCACCAGGGGAGGCTACCAAACCCCAGGAGGAGCTGAAGAAGTGGGATAATTTGCAAGTCATTACTGCTGCATACACTGCTGCCAGCAATGAACTGCTGTCAGAGACATGGGAGCAGCTCAAGTGTTTATGAGATCCAGAATAAAACATTTGATAAGTTTTTATATACTGACTCTGCTAATTCCCAACAATCAACCATTGATTATTTATAATGGAAGCCAGAGTGCAGTCTTGCAATTTGAACATTTCTTTCCATATTAGCTAAAAAATGTGGACATATTTTTTCATGATCATGGATTATAGACTTGGAAAGCGACTGGTGAAATGCCAATTCTTGTTCCACTGCCTTGTTGATCCTTTGGCTCTAAATATAATGAATTATGTATAAAAATAGGACTACAGTACATAGAATGACAACTTTACAATATATCCTGTGAAGTACTTTAGATGTCTCATCAACGTGATAAGGCACGACTGTATTATCAAATGTATGTATTATTATTGTTACAGAATGTATCCTTGCAAATAGAATACAAAATCAAAATTGGTAACATAACAAAACAATTTAAGTAACACCAGGCCCGTTGCAGCTTTCAAACCAATCACTTTGGTTTACTATTCAGAAGCATAAACAAAGAATGCCACAAACACGGTAAAAAACAATACAGGATCTACACAGCAGATTCTCTCAGATCTACCATCACCGGTCAGCTGTAGAATCCATTGATGGGCTGCGGAACAAAAAAAACGCTGCAACTGAACCAAAAAGTGATATAAACAGGCAGCAGCAGAGTGGATAAGGTAAATCTCCACAATCTGTAAAGAATTAAGCATTCAGAAGCTTCCATAAACAGAGACAAATGGGGCATATTCAGCTATGTTGCTGGAGTTAT